TTGAGCCTTGAGGCACGCCGCGCGCGACAGGGAGTGGAAGAGACGACACGACCGTTCCGTCCTCTTTACGGATTTCAACAAGTTGGGATCTATTGTTTAGGTAGCTTCCAAACCACTTTATTGTTTCCATCGCGAATCCATAGTAAGTCATCTTGGAAAGCAGTAAAGTGGTGTTTATCGAGTCAAAGGCCCGGGAAAAATCAAGGAGCACCAATATCGTCCCCTCACCCCATCACGAGCCTCCAGTATTGCCTATAACATCAGCCAGCGCCGTTGCAGTCCCACGACATTTTCTAAAACCCGATTGCATCTCGGGCAATATGTTGTTATCCTCCAGATATTTGATTGTCTGATTATATACCACCCTCTCCAAAACTTTTGACAGACACGGCAGTATACTGATGGGGCGAAGGTCCTTGAAGGAGTTTGGATTGCTGTTTTTTGGTATTGGCCGCACAATAGCACACTTCCATGCCTCAGGGAATGTGTTGGTTTTTATTGATGTATTGACTATGGCCGTGATAATCTGAAGCGTGTGTGGTAGTGTCAATTTCAGCATATCCAAACCAAGTCCATCAGTGCCTGTTGCATTTGTTCCAAGATCCTGCAATGCTCTCAGAACATCCGTCTGGCTGACGCTCCTGAGCACGAACTGAGATTCATTAGCACTGAATCTGTTGAACTCAAAGAATGTCAGCCGAGACATCGAGACACTACACGATCCCGGAACAACAAGAAAGGTTCCATTAATGCTGTTCGGGTCATCAAAGTGACCCGGAGCCCGCAGTTCCCATGATCAGGCAGGACTCGAGTTTTTAGGTTCCTCCATAAAACTTTGGGGTTCTTAAGATTCCTGTTGATATCCTTGGAGAAATATACTTCTTTCTCTCGGGCCAGTGCAAATGATGCTTGGTTTTTGAGGTCCACATAGTATCTCCTGGCAGACTCAACAGTTTCTTCACTACTTTGGTTTTTTTTTAAAGTATGGAATTTCACTCGTGCCTCATTTCTCAACTTGAACAACAGTTTGATATTGTCAGTGATCCATGGAGTAGGGTAGCCTCTAAACATTTTAGTTTTTATGGGAGCATGGAGGTCATAGAGCTGATTGGTAGCATATGTGAATAGTGAAACCATACCATTTACATCACTCGAACCACTCATCCCCATCCAATCTATAGATTCCAAGTCTGCATTAAAGTTGTCAACTAATATATCCTTAAGCGGTCTATAAGCTACAATTCTTGGTTTAGTCTTCTCCTTCTTGATCATTGCCTCACAAGTAATAAAAGAGTGATTTCCGAGCTCACTGATATGACTCACAACAACATTGCGCACTTTTATATCTGTGCACACAACATCTATTAGGGTACCACTTTCTCCCACGAAATGCGTTGGCGTCTGTACCACTTGATTCATCTGGGTGTAATTTATGAAATCAGTCAAGGTGGCCGTCTTGTGGTCTTTATTTAATAAATTGACATTGAAGTCCCCCAACAATATAACATTGTCGTAGGGAGCCAATGCAGTGATGCTGTCAGTTATGCCATCCAAGAATCCACCCAGATTAAACCATGGCGGTCTATACGCTGTACCTACCAATATTTTTTTCCCGTTGACGCCTACACTTAGCCACATCTGCTCAACCCCAAATTGTTCCGAGTGTTGCATCACTCTTGCCCTTATACCCGTTTTTATGTAAAACCCCACTCCTCCACCACGTCCTCCCCGCACAGACGTCGGCCGCGGTTTATGCTTCAGTCGGTAACCCGGGACACTAGGTGCACGCGCCTCTTCATTCAGTCTCAGCCATGTCTCATTGATCGCCATGATATCTACTGAGTGATGAGACATGGCGATACGAAATTCATCATGGTTGGTTCCCAGAGATCCCGCGTTCAACAAACCGAACTTTAAGCATTTGGATTTAGGCATTTAGTTTTTTCTTTTTTAATAGTGTTGTTGTGTTTGTATCGTATTTGTGTATATAGTTCATGAGACATGTAAATAATTGATATATGTATGTATAGATTAAGGTTAACTTTGTAAATAATATGTTTAAGTATGTAGTGATTAGTTTTAAGTTTGTAAATAGAAGTTTTAAGTATAGTAGTATAAGTATATAGATATAAATGTTGTTGTGAATATTGTAATATTTTAAGTAAACAGCTGATCCACAATCACTGATCTTTCCTATAAGTTGCACTTCATTATAGTAATAGCAAACATGACGCACCAATCTGAATAGACACTGCCCAAATAAACAATCTACAAAAAGTCTGCACTTCGTATTAATATTAATCCGCACATTGACCAATAATATCTTGGATATCCCTTTCAGTCGCAATTCTGCATGTCCTGTCCCCAGGCTTGTTGCGGACCAGGATGCGTCCCCGCCTCGTCCACACGAAGCGCCAGCCGTGGACACCGGCGGCGGCACGAGTCTTTCGAAACAACTCCTGGTTCGTCTTCGTCAGTCTCTCGTTTATATAGAAACGGCGAGCCGAACCGGCGATACCCAAGTCCTCAGTTGTGGCGCCTCGCCGCACTCGCGCGCTGTCCAGGATGTCATCACGCAGGTCTCGCCGGGCCAGACGAACCATAACAGCACGAGGGCGAACCTCGGCCGGTTTAGTTGGGCTCGTTGGCTTGAGATGCCGTCCCCCAACACGCTCCGCATACACGATGTCACGAATATCCAACGAGACACCCAGCTTGGTGGCGATGGCCTTGACCATATGTACTGGGTTTTCAGCTGGTGTTTCGGGTAAATTGGCTATGACTAGATCATTCGCCATTAGCTCCTGATCCCTGTCGTTGAGCTCCCGCTTCAGCTGTTCCACCACTCCCTCGACCACAGCCACATCAGCCGGCCCGTCAGCATGCCGCTCCTCCAGGACCTGCAGCCTAGCCTCAATGGTGTCCATCCGTCCATTGCACGTGTCATTTGAGGACTTGACCTCTTTACGCAGTTCGATGACTTCCAGTCGCAGGTTACGCAACTCCTCCATGATGATGCGCAACTGAGAAGCGACATCCAACTGGGATGCAACAACTGCTGCATCTATTCCGACGACATTATTCTGCTGATCCTGGTGCACCTGTTCCGTGGTCAAGCTCTCGTCCAGATCTTCCTCCGCGGACTCTCGAGAAGGCGCAGACCCCAGCCCCGATGACTCCGAAGAGATCAAAGGAGGCATCCCTGTCTGTATGTCCATCTGGCTGTTTCTAACAGGAGTCTCCGATTTATTGTCCCTGCGGAGGTTTTTCCTACATTCTGGGCATTGCCAGAACGTTGGGACAGCGCCTCTAGTGGCCAGACCGACACATACGCGATGGTAATGTAAATTACATTTCGTGCACCTAGCGGCATCTGCCGGCGAAATAAATTTGCCGCATCCTCCGCACTTTGTCATCGGCATTATCGATGATTATATTGATGTGAGTGAAGTAGTTGCAGTCGTCTTAAAACAGATGGCGCTAGCGTTCAAGTGCGGCCAATAATGCGTTCCTGCACTACTAGATGTCACCAGTTGCGACGTGTTCCGTCACTTCGATCAGCTGTTCAACTTGATTATGAGGGTAAACAAATTAAATCTCTATTGAAGAAGATTTTGTATTTTGTTTATTTTACACGTAAAACAGTAAAACAAACCACCGACTCCGCACTCACTCAATATATATGGATGTGTCCTTTCACTATGCACTTTTTCAAATTATATCTCGTAGATATTAACTGTATTTACTATTATAAGTGAGCAAATATGTGTCAACAAGTCCGACTGGCACGAACGCCGAAACGTCACTCCCAATCACTCGACACACCTTGCAATCACTCGACTTACGAGACAGGCTTCAGTAGTGTTCGTTGACAAGGGAGAGGAGGGAGGGGTTTCTTACAATTTGCACGACACCTTTTGCGTTATAAAATTCTTCTAGCCTTTTCGTGTTGTAATGTAAAGCTGCTCCCACACTCTCTGTTTAAAATGTTTACAAGTAAAATCTGTAGTAGTAAATATCTACTTCCATGCAGTTTCACCCACTCTGCTCCAAGCCTATTGATCGTAGCGTAATGTATAGCCTTCCACAAAATATACGATAGACTATCCAAAACCGAACTACTTGTTTAAATCGGACGAGTAGTTCCTGGGATTAGTGCGTTGAAACAAACAAATAAACATATATATACAAACTCTTCAGGTTTACATAATAAGTATACAAGTATGTAAGATATCTGTATTCGCAACATTTTATTTATTTAGACAAATGGATGACAAACGGTCATCTGTTTTATACAGACATCATATCAAGTTACTCCAAACTTTGACAAATTATAGTCTGGGCCATATTTTAATATTAACTATTTAGACAAATTGTTAGTAAAATGTTTATTCGATTACATGAATGTTAGTTACCTGTTATTAACACCTTCAAATAACGGGTTTTCTTATTCAGTAACAGCTATTTTAATCTACACAAATATTTAGATTTAGCCAATATTTTATCTTTGTGTGGGATATTTCTTATAAGCCCCTATAAGAAGGTCTTCAAATAGTGAGTCAATGTTAGCTATGATTACAATTTTAGATAATGTAAATAAACATGTAACAGAATGTAACAATCTGTTAACAAACGTGCTACTGTTAGTAAATATTTGTTAACATTGTTAACACTAGTGTGGACGCAACCTAATAAGTTCTTATTACGCTTGTGGTTGCATTGTGAAGCTGACACTAGTTTGGAACTCCTTCTAGTTAGGAGCTCTCATGATGAGGTCTAGCTCGTTAGTTGGATGCACCTCAAAAACTTTTCTATTGTAGAGGTAACTATACAAGGTCAAAGTATTTCTTTAAATTGCTTTTGGACACACTACTTCTGTAACGTGATAATGAAATAAGAATTTTATTGTACAATGAAATGAAATATGTATACGATGAGAAATGTTTGTAAATATATAAATTAAATACATAGCCTTTAAGCATCTTTGTTATGAAAAGGAAATCACTTGCAAAGTAATTAGGAAAATATTTATATTGGTTAACAAACATAATACGTCGATGTTAAAGTAACTCGGTTGGTGCTTGGCTGAGAAACCGGTTGCCTCCCAACGTGTACCGAGTTCTATATCTGCACCAAGCAACTTTTTTTGTGATCCACAAAATCCACCGACGAATACAACAAATAATCTGTTCATTTATTTTTATGATTACCGAGTAACTGTAAAGAAGCCTACATATTACTGACCCTTATAACCAGCCGTGGGTGCGGGTAACCGGGGCTCCGGCAAGAAAGAGGAGTAGCATCGGGGTTCATTTTAGTCAGTAAGAGCGAGCCCTTGCCCGGGAGGTGGGAAAGGTCATTTGATGATTTTTAAATAAAAAGTTATAACTAAGGAACGACAAACAAATAATTATCGGACGTCGTGCTCCATCGTAGACCGCATCATCGCTTACCACCAGGCGAGATAGAGGTCAACCGTCGGCCCACCAGATATAATAATAATGCTAATTTACCTACTTCGTACTTTCTAAGATTATTTAGACATCTCTAACAAACGGTGAAGGAAAACATCGTGAGGAAACCTGGGCTTAAAATTTCTAATTATAAGTTTGTAATCGCCAACCCGCATTGAGCAAGCGTGGTGATTAAAGCTCAAACCTTCTCCGTGTGAGAAGAGGCTTTGCTCAGCAGTGGGCATTTATAGGCTGTTGATGATGACCTACTTCGCATTTATGAGAATGGTAAGAAAGGATGTTAAGATATGACAGATTCTGAATCCTATTCTTATTGATTCACCTCTATTAAAACAATGTATTTAAAGAAAATAAATTTATTTGAGAAACTCAATTACGGTTATGTAATAGAAAAATACTGTTCGCAATTAAGTTAAAGTGCACACTAATGAGATTTTCAGTTTCAATTAATTAACTGCTAATTACATATTTATTGTAGGAACAATTTCTTCGGCACACTATACATTACTTGACGGCATACATTACACCAGTTTGAATTTGTTTTGCAAAATGAAGTTGTAAGTAAACAATCTAACTAATATGATAAATGCGTAAGTTGTGAGGATGTATACGTGTGTGTGTATGTGTGTTTGTTACACTTTCACGTCAAAACGGCTAAAGGGATTGAGATAAAATTTGAAATAGGGACAGATTACGGTCTACATAGGTCACTTTGTGGCGACGCATGCCACATGTCAATATTTAGAAATTATAAGCTGAGGTTTCCTCACGATGTTTTCCTCCACCGTTTGTCAGTGGTGTCTAAATAACCTTAGGAAGTATATATAACTCGGAAAAAGACACATTGGTACTTGCCATTGCTAGATTTCGAAATAGGTCACTTGTATTGTTTACTATTTATTTAGTTACGAAAGTCTTCATGCATCAGCACCCTCTAAATATAATTATCTAGTTACTATTTTTTTCAAAGCAGTAACTTGAATATACTAAATTGTCATCTCCAGTCAGTGTGTCAAATGTAGAGATAATTGATAGTATTGAAACCCTCCAAAGCCTACCTATGTAAGAAGGAATGCACTGTGAAATTGATTTCGTTTACGTCTCAAAGAAAAATGGTTCTGTCTCGACAATACAATAATAGTTATACAAAGAAATAAAAAAAAAATAAGTGGTGAACTTCTAAAGTGCTTATGAACTCATAGTACCTACATAATCAAAGCATCACACCATGTAATTCTCGAAGAGATTTCTCGTTGAATCGCACGTGCAATGCAAATAGTACCAACAAAATTTAAATTTAGTGTCTCATATGCGGAAGTCAATGAATATATGTTTTGTTATCTAAAAAAATACAGATTTATTTACTTTTTTGTTTTTACTTTATACATTGAAAATACTCCTTACAGCAAGTTGTTTTAAAAACGAAATACTCTCTTTGTGTGACACAAATTGTTGTTCTGGGGCTGGGTGTCATGTGTATGTGAACTTGTATGTTTGTAAACGCACCCACGACACAGGAGAAAATCTTAGAGTGGGGCAAAGGTTAAAAAACTAAAAAAATAGGATAGTAGATAGATAGATAGATAGTTGTACACTAAACAATTATTTAGCCTTAAGAATCAATAGTTTTTATAAATTGTCTTTTTTCAGGTATATTTTAGTATTCTTGGGTATCCTGTCTTATATATCAGCTACCCCATCCAAGGATGAAGATAAAGAGCAGTACGTACTGGCCACTGTATTGTTCTATTGCAATGGAATGGGAGACAAAATAGTAGCTGCTGGAAAAGTACCAAGGAAAGTGAAAATGATGATTAAATATAAGCTCCATCAGATTTACAAGAACACCCATGTAAAAGTAGCTCCTATTTACCGAAATTATTCCGACGTCCCGGTAATGGATGACGTTTATAGCGAAATTAGAAAGAAATATACTAGAGGTACAGTGCTGTTTGCATCGATCCCAGAGGGGCTTTCGTCGAGGCTAGTAGAGGATAAATCGAAACTCTTTAAGGAAAGAGGGAAAGTATCTGGTGTGGAGCACTTCACAAAAAAATATTTTGAGAATAAAAAAGATGTTACAGATAAAGAGGTCGAGTCTAACGTTATATCAGCAAAAGACCGAAATAAAAAGTTTGCGCCATTTGATTTAAAATCAGCTGTTCCTCTAGTGGCAACTTATCTTCCAAACACGGTTTACTATACAACGCAAATAAAGTATCGTAGTAACGATAAAATTATTGAAACGTTACTTAGTATGCTGAAATAGCCTAAGAAACATAGGTATATTGTGTAAATTATTTCGAAAGTAAATAAATACTATCCCTGAATTCTAATATTTTTACTGTTAACTAAACGACGACATTGTCATATCTAATTAAAGTTTTGGGCAACGGGTTTTTGGAGAATTGACCCTTTTCGAATATTAATACGCATGTAGTCTGCCTCGTTGACCGAGTGGACGCAATTACGACTGCCGAGCAAGGGGTCTCGGGTTCGGTTTCTGGTCGGACATAGTATTACTGGACTTTTTCAAAAAATCTCAGTAGTAGCATTGAGTCTGGACAGCCACAATGTCTGTGAAATCTCACCCCCTATTACATGGGACTCATAACATAAATAGTGAAAAGTGGGTGTTACATTGTACAGTGACATTAAGTGTCGTAATGTACACCTCTGCTTACCCCTTCAGGGATAAAAGGCGTGATATTATGTTATGTAACAAAGGGTGTATTTCAATATTAAAAACAGTCACTTCATTTTTATTTATTTGGATAGGTGAATTTTCAAAAATCTGTCGGAAAGCAATGTCTGTGATTCTCACTAGGAAATAATACAAACACTTCGTTCGTCACCACCATGTATAATACACATTGTAAAGAAATACACGGACTAAAGCATAGGGTGAAAGTGACCTTGACCTGGATTGGGACCACTTGTAAGATCTGTTGTAAGATGCCGTCTGAAAATAATTTCATCGACGGTGTACGACCGTCGCGGCGGCGGAAACCCATCGAAGATCGTTTTTCTGACTCGACAAACATACACAAAACGAAGGGAATGGGTAACGATTAGTGGTGAGTTTAGGGTTAGCTTGGAGGCTCTTAAATACATGATTGAGGTTTATATGTTTAATGAAACTTAAGATTCCTAAATATTCAGCAAAATTTTCCTAGGGCGGCTAAACATTTCTTTTGTAGTCCTACTTTCCCCATGGTGTCAAAATGATGAAATTATCTTACATACATACAACGAAGGGAATGGGTAACGATTAGTGGTGAGTTTAGGGTTAGCTTGGAGGCTCTTAAATACATGATTGAGGTTTATATGTTTAATGAAACTTAAGATTCCTAAATATTCAGCAAAATTTTCCTAGGGCGGCTAAACATTTCTTTTGTAGTCCTACTTTCCCCATGGTGTCAAAATGATGAAATTATCTTACATACATACAACGAAGGGAATGGGTAACGATTAGTGGAGAGTTTAGGGTTATCTAGGAGGCTCTTAAACACATGATTGAGGTTTATATGTTTAATGTAACTTAAGATTCCTAAATATTCAGCAAAATTTTCCTAGGGCGGCTAAACATTTCTTTTGTAGTCCTACTTTTCCCATGCTTTTAAAATGATGAAATTATCTTACATACCTACCTTCGATGTTACCAGTGAAGCAGCTGTGAATTTTGGATTAATATACCTAAGAAAAACATAGTACTCAGACATAAAAATATTTATTAAACAAAAATTTGTTGAAGACGATGTCGTTGCAGCTGAGAAAACGCGTGTGCCCTGTCCCAGTACAAGAAGGAAACTGACTGGAGCGGCGGGAGTAAAGGGGGTATTTTGTCGGGTGTGGGTAGTATGGTATCTATATATGTATCTACCCTGTCTGCACCATGTCTACGACTTACTATCGTCTGTTTATTTAAGGTGTAAGACTTTTCACAATTTCAATTTCTTGTTTTAAGTGAAATGACAAACTTAATGCTATTATAATTCCAGTATTCCTTGTTGACCATTTGCAGAATAGAAAATGATATTAATAACAATGAAATCGATCTTTTAACTAGCCATCTCGTTTAAAGCATCAGAATCAGAGAATACTCAAAACAATGTTTTTTACTATCAGTTTATTAATTAAATATGATGTAATGTAATACCATGCCCCTTTAACTTTATATTATATACATATTTTTATAGTAGAGCGATAAAATAAGATCTGATTTTTCACAGGGACAATGTTTAAATAGTCTTTCGTGAAAACTTACAATATCTACAGACGTGGATTCGGTAGCAAGAGATGTAGGCTACTGACGGGATCTCACGTCACCCCTCCCCGGTACTCCAGCGGTGGGTGGGGGGACAGGATTAAATGCGGTTAAAGTGTGTTAGTAGCTGTCTCGTCATAACAAAGGTGGTTTCATTCATGATATTCCCCTCTTGGCTTTACTTGTCGACTTAATCCTCGAGTTAGACGCTTGCTAATTGAATGTTGTCTATTGGAATATCCTAAAATAACTATAAGTATGTTCTCTCATTTTGATTGAATGATAAGTTTAGTTTTAGTACATTGAATAAGTTATTGTTATTATGACTCACAGCATTTTTTAAGGGGGGAACATGATCGAATTACTTCTCCCGCCTGGGAGTGTCAGACTCTTACTGACTAAAAACCACCCCGTTACTTCTCCTGCACGTCGAGCCGGAGCCCCGGTTACCCGTTAGGTTCTCTGCGACAATGACTCACGGCATAATAGTGCTCCTTTTTACTATTATCAGTAAATAAACATTGCTAAAGCTATGACTATACTGCCAATTTTATTTCACCATCCATAAATAGGTAACTAGAAGCATTCTAGAATCTAGATTGTGCTCCAGTGAAACACTATCGGGTTTGTGTCGACAAATGATTAAAGTTAAGGAAAATAAATGAAAGACATGTTCATGACATTTTATTTTTTATTGTTAGTCGAATTTGTTCACTTAGATGAATTACAATATGGGTAGATCGATCATTTAAAATAGTTTATACATGTAAAGATTATAATATCAGTACGTTGTAATTATATATAATATGTCGTATTTCTTAGATAAGCTAATAACAAACACATTTAATGCATAAATATAATTTTGTAATTAAAATATATAACAATATTCAAAAAATCACTGACGATAATTAAGTTAAATGCCATCGTAGTCGATTTAATTAAAATTATATTTTATATTCACATAATTATTATATATAAGTAGGTACTTAACAATAGTATATTCGTTGCTTAAAAAGCGAAAAGTTTACTTAATATTTTAAGAAAAAATAAAAAAAGAAAAACTTTTTGGCAGTGTCGAAATTAACACAAAATGATATATTTACTAATCACGTTTGGCACAATTACAAGATTTCACTGGGTGCGAAAATAAACAGAAGCGTTGGAAGTTTTAGAGAGATTTTTTCAAAATTACTTACTCACGAATTATAAGCGGGTACGAGAAGTGGACACTTAAAAGTTATTAGTAAATACATAAATTCCTAACTACAATATTAAAAAATTCATCTTATGGCACCAAACACATTGTTGCTCGCCAGAGCACCGCTGCGGCAACGCGAACAAGCCCTTCTCAGACATCGTACGACAATCCCACGTTCGCGTTTACCTATCATCCTAAGCTATCCGTATTGTCTGGTTCTCGAATTTCCTTAGTACTAATACAACATTTATTGTTTATATTTATTGAAAACAACTAGTAGTAATCTTGTTTCAAAATGGTATCTTCACAAATCGTACCAATTGAAAGTTAAAGATTATACTGTTTAATGAGAAAGTTTATATTATATATTACATAGTATTGTGCTATTGTAGAGGATTGATTATGTTATCGATTGTCGTTCGTGAGCTTACTTTAAATATATCTGTTTGACCTGCGAACAAAAACATGTGTTAGATAATATACAGACAACATACACACAATTATATAACAAAGGCAACAAAATCTCTACATACGGAAGTAATTAAAGAATGGCGAAATGAAAATACTCAATAATGCTCGACTAACTTTCGAATGAGTAATATTTCTATAATACTAGCTTATACTGTGGCCAGCACATCAACCTTACTCCAATGTGTCAATTAGGTACGTCATTAGATTATCGACTTTATCTCAGACTAACAATACAGTTAAAAATCTAATAAACAAATTTTTACCTAGAAATTAACACAAAATATAAGTACGATATATTGATAATAAGCTTTTGTCATGATTAAGCGCAATTTTTTTTAAAGCGTTAAATAAATATTAAACACTACACTGGGATACTAAGGCGAGGCGCAAACGTGAACACAAGCTACCAATGAATATATGGGTTCTATAGAACAAGTTGAAATTATACATGTGTCCAGTTCCTTCCACCTTAACACATCCTCATTGTCAATCAAAGAGTGTTCGGTGTCGATAATTAGAAAAAAATGTCTACGTTTGCGCAGCACCTTGAGTAACCAGGAAACACCAACTCACCAGTCAGTCCGATTAATTGTTATTCATAGCAAATAGTATCTGGGATAGAATTATACAAAGGAAGGAGGGTAGAATAGACCATAAGCTAAGGGTTTTCTTGGAATTCATGTTATATGGGTGATCTGGAGGAGATTCATCCACATCGAACTCCTCAAAATAGGGGAACAGGTCAGTGTATAATTTGCTGTTGTTTTTCCAGAGAAGCATGAAAAGTCAATAATGGTAATACCAAGATTAGTATGGTTAGTACATTGTAATCGGCAACATTATTTGGTTTACACCAAAACAGTTAGGGCATAAGGGTCAATTTTGCATACTTTTGTGAATTTCATTGTTTTAAAACTTGTTATAAATGTAATTTGGTCCCAAATACTGTAAAGGTACTCAATTTTAGGTTGTACTTAAATATCGTGCCATCTCTGTCATTTTACAAAGATTTTTAGAGACAGAACTATACTTAAAGGCCAATTTGAATTTAGTGGCGTTGGAGTATTATGACTTATGACATTAGTTTTCTAGATTGATTGTAAAGTAACCTTGGCTTTTGAAATATGCAAAAGTGCCCCTTGTTGCTACAGCGTAACAAATGTGCTTAAGATAATTTATGGATTGTGATATTAATGATGATGATAGTGATTTTAAAATTGGTGATGCATTTGGAAAAATAATTCTTATTAATAATTCCCCAAGTTTTATTATAGGAAGTAAACGTATTATTTGATGGCTTCCGGGCAGAAGGTAAGCGATATTTTCTTGAAAAATCGACTATTTAAATGGTTAGAATTGACTTTTTTCTGCGTCTAATCATATATATATATATATTATATAAGTCGATTTCACAAACAATGTCTTTTACTGACTGCTTCATTGGCTAAGTGGTCGTAAGTGCGACTGCCGGGCAAGGGGTCTCGGGTTCGATTCCCGGGTCGGGCAAAGTATTACTGGGTTTGTAAAAACCTTAGTAGTAGCACGGAGTCTGGAAATGTGCCCGGTATATGGCAATAGGCTCACCTCCTATTACATGGGACTCGTAACATAAATAGTGAAAAGTGGGTGTTACATTGTACATGGTATTAAGTGCCGTAATGTGCACCTCTGCGGTCTGCCTACCCCTTCGGCGATAAAAGGAGTAATGTTATGTATGTGTCTTTTACCCTCGATAGCCGGAAAGCATTGCATTCCGTTTTCGAAAACGTTTTGTTAACATAATACGACATGATTACAAAATAATTAATACCTCGATAATTAAAAAAGGTTTAAGTAGGTAGTATTTTACATCTAGCTTAGTAAAAATTTACAATAAAATACTTATCATTTCCTTATTTACGTATTTACAAAGATAATTAAAGAAACAGGAAATTGGAAATGTTATTGAATTACTGCACCCTGCATTCTACAACGCATAAAAATGTTCGAAAATTATAAATGAGTTTTATTTTACTACCTAATCAGAAACTACTTATACTTATAATCATATAATTATTGGTAAAGACAAATGTACCAGTAATGCACTGAACTAATTTAAATGTACTTTAAGTTACACAGGCTTATTTCAAGTATGAAGGCATGCTTCTTGAGCACTTGTCTTTTAGTAACATGTGTGTGAGAATGTTGCTTAAAAGCATGCTCATTCGGGCATGCTTGGGAATCGACTAGCGTTCGATATTTGAACATTTTTTAAGCATGCTCAATGGATACCTTGGCATGTTATTTAAGAGCATGTGTATTGTGTACCTTTAGTACAGACATAGGCAGAGGTGCAATACGGGGCTTAATGCCATTGTACAATATAACACCCACTTTTCACTATTTATGTTATGAGCCCCATGTAATAGGGGAGAGCCTAATGCCATATAACAGGCACTATTCAAGACTTCGTGCTACCACTGAGGTTTAATTTAAAAACCCAATAATTCTTTGCCCCACCCGGCAATCGAACCCGAGACCCCTTGCCCGACAGTTGCATGCGACCACTCGCCCATTGAGGTAGTCAGTACAGACAAATAAAGACAGATATATCCCTAATGGCAGTATAAAGGTATGTACACACAGCGGGCGCGGTTCGGCGGGACAGGACGGCGACGCGACACTGAGCAGTAGTAATGTACTAGATATTACGGACGACGCCACACAGAGCCGTCGGTTACCGTCGCGTTGAACGGGACCGGGAAGGTCCCTGTGTGCCTTAAGAGGTTTATAATAATCGTTTGGCGTTCAAACTTTAAACTATGGAGACTTTGTAACTTATAACAGTCTGGTACACGCGAGGTTTTAGGTTTTAGTCGTTCGACAGATTCTAGTACTGATGTCGTTGAAGTTAGAAAACCGCAAACTGAGCAACTTCCCATTTTCATAGGACTCGTTATAAACGAGTTGTTAAGAGAGTTAGTAATGTTTTGTTTTTAATGTAATTATGTGAAAATATTATTTTCTTCACATATGATGACAATTTTGCTATAATAACTGTGACGAGACAAAATAATTATGGCAGATTCACGTAATGGTTTAGCGAGGCGTACCGCGCAGTGTTGTTCATGAGTATGAGCCCCTGTAGCGACTTGAAATTAGTCGGGTTATCTTGTTAAAGAGATATCTTGATGATGATGTTGTTAATGTTAATGATGACGTTAAGTATTAACGAACGAAACTAATTATTATACTTACTCCTTGCATCGCTGCGTGTTTCTTCCAGTAACAGCAACTTGTCCAAGGTTCAAGCCTCGGTCTGAGTTCATCAGCTCGATTTGGTGGATGCAACCAGTGAAGCCAGGGTATCCCTGCTGGTTGATGCTATCAGGTATACCACCTAAGAAGAAAGAGATAATATTAAATCGTAGTCACTTCTGGATTATTCGATCACTTACATGAGCTAACTTATTGTTGTTTAGTGTTACCTCATGATTAAGAGTTTTTCCTTAGTATAATGGATGCGTTTGCAAAATCTAATATACACTTTATACCCAAACCAAAACAACTATTAGATCGAATAGGCTAAACCAAAAGACGTTATTTCTGAAAAACAAAGAAAATACTACTTTTTGTTTAAGTATTATTTTCCATTGTAACTTACCAAGGTAAATATTTGAGTCAGCGTTCATGAGGTTGGAAATGCCAGAACTGTATCCAGAGTTTTCGCTGCCGTCGACTGATAGGATCACCTGGCCATCTTCCAACATTTTGACGATAACCTGTTAACAAAATACAAGTTATAAGAAGTAAGTACTGCAAATAAATAAGGTTTAAAACAATACTTTTTACCACCCAATGAGTTTGTATGAGAATTGTCAAATACTTGATCTATCTAGGTTATGAGTTTTGCAGTAAATTTTAAATTCCAATAGTAGGTAATTTAATACATAATTTAATACTTAAATTCTAATGTAGACAATCTATTTTCCTTATGGCATCGAACCTTTCTTTCTTTATTGAAACAAAGAGTTTCCTTCTTCTTGTATAGAAGCACTATTTTTATGGATTGTCAGTATGCATATGTGAGCACCATGTTAGACTTTAAGATGTTTATTTTTTTTTATTTTAGTAAGTTATTAATATTTTGCGTCAAGCGTGTCTTTGCATTGTTCTTACATATGCGTACAGTATTAAAATATGTATCAGAGACATTGTAGAACATACTTTTTTTTAAAAAGAGTAACGAATGGAGTTTCTTGCTCGTTCTTCCCCATTCGAATCTACATTTTCAACTACATAGTTTCACTGACGGACTGCCTGACAGACTATTATTTATTTTGTATTTGTTGACGTTTCAAAAGTACCAAACTATGGTTTAAATGAAATAAATGCTTTGACTTTGACTTTTCAATTAAAAGACATGACGTTATTTAGAGTAGAAAGATATTAAAACCAGCACAATTAGATAGATAGTTTACATAGAATGTTCTTTTCTCAATTTGTTTAAGTATCTGAAAGTAGGTACATAGGGCTAAAAAATAGGTACCTGTATCTACCATAGAGTGGTAACAGGTGTTTACCTGTTATATGTATATAATATTTTTAGTATTAAAGCATCATATTCTTAGATGTGGTTTTATAATTCATTACAAGTCGACCTAATGAAAGCGTGTTAAAAGAATACGTGTACGTGTTTATGCGGAACTAATAATTTTATATAATACACATATGTATGTATACAGCCAAAATGTATAGAAAAAGGGTTCGTCAATCTGTTGTTGTATTTATAGAAATGAGTACAATGCAACTGAAAACCCAATTAACATCATTTTGCTTTCACTGATCACGTGTGCACGTCACGTTGCGGAACGCTGTGACGACAGATAACATATTTATAGCTGTTTAATAGGTTATAAAGTTTTATTTGGCTGTATGTATATGTACTTATAATGATAAGAAGTATTATACAATTATTTATTTGAATTACTTATACCTATGTCTGTTTTTGAAGTCGTCTTGTATGCAACCAATTTGTAGTCGCGATTTTATTATAAGGCAAATCATATGTGCTTTTGATCTCATTTTTAATGATTATGTAACTTTTCTTTCAAAAAAATAATAGATATTTTATGTACTTGTCATTTAAATCATTTGCTTTGTAGGTATCTACTGATTTTATTTTTTGCTATCATCGTTATGGTTAGAACAAAATTTTTTAGGTCAAAAGAACTCACCTGGTGTCGAACTCCATCATTAACGAAGGCGTTCACCGCGAGCTCAGTCTTACCACCACCGTTGTCCCATTCGAACTTGACGATGCCATTCTCAACTGCAACAAACACACAACCATCAGTCATTTTGCACTTAACATTTTTATTTCAGATCAAATTCATAATTTTGTTTGGAAAAATATAGAAATAATACATTGGTACACATTATGTTGTGGCAGTTAATTTCAATAAGTTCAGCTAACATAACAACATAACATATATATTGGAATGTGAACAACGCCCCACCATTTTTTTAATGAGGCCAATCCCATATCATCGCAGGAGTTGTAAAGAATAAATGTGTTAGTAATATAAAGTACTTACTTCTCAGCAGGATGTAGTCGCCGTAGTATGGTGGGCTTTGGGCTTCCTTCTGGTAAACCAGCACTCCATCCTGGCTGGTGAAGATGGCGAGGGCAATGATAACAGGGTCTACGTCCAAGTTTTCGTATCTTATGAGATTTGCGGGAAGTTCTAAGTAACCGTTGCCGTTGAAACCGACGCTGTGGTGTAGTTCAAGAGCTAGAAAAATGAAGAGAATATTTATTACTATTCCCTGGAAGTAACGAAATTTAGGAAATATAAATTTGTAAAGAAAACCAACCAATTTGGCAGTAAGTGCCGGCGTATCCGAGAGGACAGTCACAGGTGTGGTTCATTCTGGAGCTGAGGTCAGGTCGGCAGGTTCCTCCGTTGCGGCAAGGTCGCATCGCGCAGGGATCGCTAGGAGGCTGGCGAGAGGACCTCATGGAGGAGGGCACGCGGTTCTCGCAGAGAGAACCTCCAAAGCCGGGGGGGCAGGCGCAAGTTGAGGAGTCAGTTGTGCAGGATCCACCGTTGTGGCATTGGCAGCCGATCTCAGTCTGTAACAGCGACATTTATGTAGTTATCCTAATACAATTTAGCGTAAAATGGAATTTAAATGATGCAGTTTAAACACATGAGGTTCTTTTATTAAGATCTGAGCAAAAGTTGATTTGACCATGACGGTAACCACTATGCTAGTTTATATATCATGGACACTCCTCTTTGTAGACTTTGTACATGGCTTCTGAAAGTACGATTTTTGTCTGGTAACATCTTAATAATAGCATAACATAACATCACGCCTTTTATCCCCGAAGTGGTAGGAAGAGGTGCACATTACGGTACAATGTAACACCCACTTTTCACTAATTATGTTATAAGTCCCAGGGGGTGAGCCTATTACCACATACCGGACACAATTCCAACTCCGTGCTACTACTGGGATGTTTTTTAAAACCTAGTAATCCTTTGCCAGACCCTAGATTCACACCCGAGACCCCTTGCCAACGAGGCAGTTCATCAATGCAATGTCCCAATCCCTAGGAAATAGAAAGTATACTTACATCAGGGATGTCACCACGGACGTACGCATTACATTCTTTCACATTCGCTGATTGAATGGTTGAGTTGACGATGTCCACAGCTTCTCCATGCAACTTGAACTGTGAATTAACATCAAACTAAATATCACGTTATACGAAAATATATACAAACAAGATGCAAGAGTTTGGAAGAAAAATGCCTTTTATTCCTCAAAGAGTTAAGCAGAAGTGCATCTAGGACTTGATAACCAGTTTTGTTAACTGGTTTGTTGGGTGCCTACAGCTGAGAGCATGTTGTATAGAATCCATGGGAGACTGTCGTATTTACTTTAGTTTTAGAACATTGTCCCCACTCACAAAAATAACAATTAATAAATGATATCCTATATCCAAGAGAAGATGAAAGTCAATCACGTGTTAAAACTTACGTCAGCAATACATCCGTTGAACCCTCCAGTAACTCCGGTGTTGTTGTTCAGGGTGATTGAGTCATCCACACCACCCACGAAGATCGGAGTATCCAAGTTAAGATCCTAAAACAAATTAATAAGGTGTATAAAATAAGCAAACAATAGACCTTATACAGAAGATCCCCACCCATCTTTTTTGGCTATGATATACCTGTTTCTGTTTCATAATAATACTTATATGATAAAGAACTCTGGACTCAATCTGGTACAGAATAAGATTCAAATAAGCACTTACCCGTTTCGGTGATTCGAGTTGCTGCTCGAAGCTATGTACAGAGTTAATGCGCAGAGAGACTACAGAGCCTACACGGGCAATGTGAACGGTTGTCCATTCGTTAGCTGAGAGGGTCCTGTTGCTGACCAGGACAACTGGTACGCTTCCTGAAAGCGTAAATGTACGAGTTTTATATTTATTGATAACAAACAAATTTTGATTACTTAAAAAACGTTCCCTGCTACTAAACTTTGACTGTTGCAATGTCTGGAATCCAAAGTTTGCGGTAAAATCGACCAGAACAGCGATGAGACTTACAAATTATTATGATCAGAGATTTTCGGTTCGGAACTACATATTAGGAGGTATCTGATTTACTTTGCATTTTTTAATTATCAATACAGCTATAACATTTTTCGGAATATCTCACCTCCTCCAAGATCGTAGCGGAATTCAAGCCTGGCGTCGTGGACAGCCAGAGATGTGAAACCTCCGTATCCGCGAGGTGACTCAGCACAATACATGATGATTCCATCAGTGACGGGAGATGCTGCCTTGATCCTCATCGACATTCTCAATGTACGGGAGGGTGCTGGTGGCTTGATGGCCAAATATGCGCTACCAGTGAAAGCTGGGTACTCAATCGATTGTTTTTCCTCGCAGCTGCAAAATTATACTTGTTTTAGTAATTCGGTTCGATAGACTTGAAGATGTGTTGCTGAAGTTTTTTTTAATGTGAGGTACACTTAACTAATTAACTAGGTTACCTTAAAAAAATAAAAATATATATATAGATAACTAGCAAACCCGGCGAACCCCGTTTCGCCACCAGATGGCTTCGTTTTATGTTACATTTTGATTGGTGGTTAAAAATGAATTTTCCTTGCTATAAACCTCACGGAGCCCGAGACCTTTCCAACGAATGCAAAACCGTGGAAATCCGTTCGTGCGTTCTGGAGTTATAGCGTCACTAAGGAAAACCCGACTTATTTTTATATAGTAGATTTTATGGTGCTTAAGTTACAGTCACCTGTCACTCGAGGCTACTTACTTTCTGCCAGTGTGTGTGACGGGGCAAGCACACTTGTATCCGTCAACGGTGTCGGTACACTTGCCAGGCCCACATAGTCCTGGACGGCAAGCGTCACCAGTCCTATCGCAGTTTACTCCAGCGTAGCCTGACGCGCAGATACAACTATAACCACGTTCGTTACGGGCCTCCTGTGAAGAAAATGTTTAGGTAATGGAGATAGACTGAAGATTCAATGCCTTTTTATATTTATAATAATAATATTATGTTTCTCAAAATTCTAACGTGTATTCTAAAATAAACTTTATGGCAATCATTAACACGACACTATTTTAAAAACACAGCTGCAATAGAAAATTATACGAACCTGGCATACACCTCCGTTCAAGCAAAGGTTGGGAGAACAGGAGTCACATTCGCTTACACGGCTGCGTTCCAGACTGTCCATCATAATGTCCTTTTCTTCTCTGCCCAAAATGAGCATGCTAGCACAACCGATGAAACTGCAAGAAGGAAAGTAGAATTTTGTTATATAAGTTCAGAAGATTATTTCAACGTTTTTAGAATTAAACAAGGAAATAATCATTTCCCCATGTAAATAGTATTTACCCAGATGTTCCAGCTAGGTCAATAGGCAGTTGGTCGTAGTCAGGCACTCCTCCGATGTACAGAGGCTGCTTCAGTTCAAGCACCACCCATTGTTCAGGAGATTCCGCAATGAAAGGTCCGGTGTTATCGACGTCCATTGTTACTAAAAGCAAAAACATTAAGATTGTATTATCTCCTCAAAGTCACCACAAATCATTCCTTCAAAGAGTAAAAGAAACATTGAATTAATTGGACAAATTTTGCATACCCTTAGATTTGGTTCTGGACACCCTTATTGTGTGCCAAGCGTTCAATTGCAGAGGACGATCTCCCTTTACAATCAGAGGTTCAGTGCCGGTGTCCATGATGAACTCGGGTATACCATCCCTAAGGTGCAGAGCAATGTAGTCACCGGCGCGTCCTTGGTTCTCACTGTTGTAGAGGATCAGTCCATTGTTGTCTGAAATAGAAAACAAAGGAGTTGAGTTAATACTGAACAACTACTAATCAAACTATAGCTACTTATAAGTGAAAAGTTATTTACCGGCGGGTTTGAACGATATTTCGATGTCGAACTGTTGGTAAGGATCCCTCAAAGTTGGAAGTGAGACGAAGCCATCTCCATTGAAACGTGGAACTACTCCAGTGACAGTCAAGATAGCGCGAGCTTCGACAGTGGCGCGGCTGTTGCTGACGCGGCACACGTAGGTACCAGCGTCCGCCTCAGTCACAGAGTTCAGGTAGAGGTTGGGCTGGAAGTAAAATTTCTAATATAATAGAGAATACAAGAAAGATTGTAGGAAATATGATTGAGTATTCTCTATTTTTCCCAATTTACACGATGTTAATAATAAAACCTTTTATGAACTCAAAAAAGGACATGCCTGCGTAAAATTGAATCGTTACCTGATCAGCGCGGATTTCAGCTGGCAGAGCGGAGAATTCGCGTCTCCACTCGATAGTTACAGGGTGTTCCAAGTTGTGAATGCACGGTAGGTCAACTGAGGCACGCAGGTTAGCGGTGTATTGGGCAACTGATACATCCCTGTTGTCTGGGTAGAATGGTCCGCCTGTTAGTGGACCAAAAGTCGTGAATTAATTTATTGAAGCATAAGTTTCGATAAATTGCGGTTGAAAGTTTCTTCTTTTACAGTCCAGGTCCAGTGGCCAGACAATTGGTTGATGGCCAACGCTTCGTAGTAGTGATCCCGTGTTGTGAACCACAAATTGTCATCTGATTGGGTCTGTTTATGATGTGTACGGAAAGTCGTACGTTCGTGAATGCGACTACGACACAGGAGAAACTCCTAGTGCAGGCTTTTACTATTTTTACTATTTTTCACTGTCCCTTACCTGCTTCAACTTCAAGGTTGAAGTCATCATAGAATGTTCGGCCACGATCGTCACTGCCAATGCAGCGGTAAACGCCAGCGTCACTATTGGTCACTCCGGTTAGAGACAGCCTTACTCCATCGCCATATGTCTGTACAAGTATCATAATAATATCAGACAACATATTGGTTTACAGCATAAGATATAGGCTGCCTAGTGCCAAATTTTAGAGCATTTTTCCATTTGACACTGTGTAAAGAATAGGTTACTCAGCAATGGGTTCACCCTGGTGATGAATGAACAGATATATTGACTTCACATAAATTCAGTCTGAACCTGTACTTACCAAGGAGGCCACGTATTGGTTGGTTCCTACGCGCAGCCACTGCAGCCTGATGTTACCAGACCTGGCCTTGCACAGCACGTCTACATTGTCTCCAACTCTAAATTGCCTTCGTGGTTGATCAATCGATACCAAACGTTGTGGTTCAGAGGTCGGTTCTCGAGGTCCTAAAACATTACATACCAATAAGTCTAACTCAAACACACGTAGATGGTAGTCACCATGTAAGCATTCCCCACCCAGGGTATAAAATATGTCTACTTACAAAAACGTACCATCTGCATATAAATAGAAGTAGGTACATAGTTTCATTATAAAATAGAAATACCAAAACCAACTTAAATGCAAGCTAACATGCAAACCCCACGCATGTCCGACTTCACAGAAGCTGCAGACATTTTGTCAATACTTATATTTTGTACTTAACATAAAACATACCATCACGCATTTTTATCCCCGAAGGGGTAGGTAGAAGTCATTATGACACTTAATGCCACTATACAATGTAACACCCACTTTTCGCTATTTATATTATAAGTCCCATATACTGGGTACAATTCCAGACTCCATGCTAATACTGAGTTTTTTTTTAAAACCAGTAAAATTTGCCCGACCCGGGAATCGACCCCGAGACCCCGTGCCCGGCACTCGCAATTGCGACCACTCGACCAACGAGGCAGTCTTTTGTACTTATCGAATAAACATGTGAGATAATACAATAAGCGAATACAAACTGGTTAGTTACAGTACAATATAAATGTATACGAAACGCGAGCACCAACTATAGGAAAAAAATAATTAAGTAGATATTATAATAATAATTTAAGAATAATATTATTATATGTTTACCCCCACCCATAAATCTTTTCGTCCGACTTGACCACCTAAGCCACGTGGGGGCGGACACTGATAACTGTTATTACAGTTAAATGACTACCGGTAACTAACGAAGATCTAGTGCACCTTCAAGATGGAGAGAGAAATAAGGAATTCTATTATAAGGCCGCTTCCCGGGGGCGATCGTTGGGGCACCATCATGCCGAAGATGCTTTGCAATGCGGGTCTTTTACCCAATGCGTTGCCGGTACCTCTGCTCTTAAAACCATGACAAGTTTAGATTGTAATTCAGAACAATAGAAGAACAAAGAGAACTTATGTTTTGTTATTTTAAATCGAAAGCAGAAGGACCAGGATATCTCAAACGTATATATAATACAAAGAAATCCAAATAATCCTAAAGCTCATATTTAAACTAGATGGTAGTAAACTTTCTATTCAAGCCCGAATAATCATTAATGGTAAAGCCATATCTAAGGAAGAATTAGTTTTAATTAAAAATAGAGTCGGACAATCAGTAGCCATACAGTTAACTTAATTTCCGAACACTCAACAACACCAACACCCAATAATTCTAGATCACAGACACCAATATCAACCATACAATTACCAACACCAAACACAAACTCACCCACACTAGATCAACTAAACAATATACGAGGAAATTAATAGACACAGGAAGACAGTAGAAGAAAGTGGACTATGTAAGAACAGCATGAACCAATGTTTAGTTATATCAAAGCTAAAATTGGTGGCACGGGATATATTGAACGATTCTATGATTTGTTATACTCACGAAATCCTGATAATCCAAAAATACATATATTCGACGGAAATAAACTTTCAAACCAAACTTGTACAATATTCAATCGTGAACTTGTATCAGACGAAGTTTCAGCCCAAATTAGACTCAAAGCGCAAGACATATAGGTCAATGTTATAAACCAATGTTATAAAAACCCAAATAGTTAAATAACAACAATATTTAGAACGCAAAATAGACTACATTATAAAAACAATAGTTATACACAATAAAAAAAGATATAAATATGCGATAGATAAGAAAGCGAAAGAAAATAGAATAGATCTTAAATTAAACAATAATACAATACAATATACGCAGATATCCAAATAAAATCTGATAAAATAAAATACGCAATAGGAAAATGGAAAGCTAAACCTCTATGTGAACAGTTTTACAAATCAGTAATAGACAAAGAAAATATAGATACAAAGTACTCGTTCAAACGGCTCAACAAGCAGGTAATATCTCCCTTCCTAGAAGTATCCATATTCTCACTACAAGATCAAGCCATTATCACAAGGCAACACAAAAGAGACGTGCTCTTGAGAGCGGTAGATGGCAAGTGCCAGCTATGTGGTGTTAAAGATCAAACTGCATAACATGTTGTGACTGTTACACCAAGAGACACAACAATGTGGTGCAGTACGTGTAGGTACTGGTGGACCCTCCTCAAGAAACATAATATGGAAACACCTAGCTTACGGTGGAAGGACCGGCTCACTCAGACAAATTAATGTGGGAATTTCCAATTCAGACAGATGTCACAGTTACACACAATATACCAGATATTATTTATATAAATAAAACTGATAATAAAACATATAATAGACATAACAGTACCATCCGATTATAACATAGGAGCCAAAGAAATAGAAAAATTTAATAAATATCAACTATTACATAAGGAAATAACCCGCTTATGGAAAACGCACACTCAAGTCATACCCATTGTCATAAGAGCATCCGGAATGGTAGCTAAAAGTATCCACAAATATACGTACAGTTAGCCTTCAAAATTACATCCACATCATGCAATAACAGGCAGCTATTCACACAACCACCATCCTGAGTAAAGTTATAGAGAACACTATTTAAGTAGACAGGAAACGCGATCCTCCTCTTCCTTGAGGGTCTCAGGGCGGGAGGATTGCGAAATACCAACTCTCACGAGTCGAGATGTAAGGCATTACACACACACCTTTATATGTTTGTCTATGTTCGTTCCAAGACATATTCAAAACTACAATACAAAGGGAATACAAAAATGCACTACAACTTTGACCAGGCTATCACAAAACTTAATAATCCCATGACAGTACATAGCAGGCGGTTGAGTTATGAACAGCACAACACGGCGTTCCGGACAGACCACTGTTCAACACAACCGCATACCGCATTAGATTTACCATCGTGTGAGAGGTACTTGTTCCGTGTTCCCTCCAAGTAACGTCTATCTCGCCACAAGCAGTTTTCCTCGTCGCTATTGTCTTGACAATGGCTGTATCCATCGCATAGTAAGTTTTCGTCTATACAACCACTGTTGTCATTACAAGGATATTCTGTATCCAAGCACTTAAAACCTTTGCGAGCGAAAAATTACAGTTTTATTACAACTCATAAAAAAATTATAATAAAATTATGAATAAAAAAGACAAAACGGAAATACAGAAAAGTTAGGAAAAGGGCTAAGATGCTACGCATGCCTGGTTATCTTAAACGACTGGGCGAAGCAGATACATTGCAGCGCCACCACTGGGATTAAGCTGACTAAGTGACCTGTCGGTGAAACTGACCCTGGATGTGCAGGTTGATGTAATTGCTAGTTATTACTCTTCTATATAGATCTTGAATGCTGCAAACGTATTTGCCAGAGTCGGACTTTTGCGCGCGACGAATGTAGAGCGACCCGTCTTGCTTCTGTCTCACTGATCGGGGGAGCGCCCGTCCATCCTTGGACCACACGATGCGGACGTTCGGTTGGGACACGTTGCAGCTGAGGTGCACAGCGGCGCCGACGTGTGCCCTCTGCTCATTGTCGTGCGACACGGACGCCGTATGATCCGAATCTTCTATGGATGTTATTGTCATGCAGTCAACTGAACCCTCAAGCGTTACCAACCGCGTGTACTTAGCTACAAAGTCTTAAGGACTCTTTAAAATCGAGCGTTACAGTAACTTGATGAATTAATACTTCAAGTCACGTATTTTGCTTTTGCTTGACTACAATATTTACGATGTTTACTAAATTAAGGCTAACGTACACGCAATTGATAATGTATAATTAAAATGTAAAGCATTCAATCAATGGTGGTTCCATTAGGTGTGATGTTGGTGACCAGCATTCACACAGCACAACTGAACGGCAAATAAAATAACAGGTGCCTTAACATTATGTGCAACCTGTACATTGTACACTCATGTGTGTGTTGTGACTTTGTGATCCTCGAAATTGATAGAAGATATCCAAAATGTTATGGGAACAATACCACAGCCTAGCAAGTACAAGCTGAAACCGTGCTCATTGTGTTATTGTATAATTTCGTTTTTTTTAACTAATAATTAAAATAAATAAATAAATTTTCAATTTCAACGTTTTTGGTAGACTGTGATATTAGATAAGTAATTTATGTAAGTCAATCTATTAAACTTTATGAAGAGAATGCATTCGCTGCTAGTTTTGGTTGCTTTTATGTTTTTAATGTATGTTAATTATCATCGATTGTCTTATTTCTATCAATTTCGGTGGTAATCTACCGTACAGTTTTGTGCTGTTGGTGACCATGCTATAATGTATTGAAGAAAGTTCGTAACATACCGCTAACAACGACCTCGGCGATGGCGCTTGCGTTAGCGTATCTGCTTCGAGCGAAGCATTCGTATCGGCCAGCGTCTTCAACCTCGATCTGGTTGAAGATGAGTCTAGAGGACCGAGTATCTACACGGCTGAAAATAAAATGAAATGTGAATCATACAGACCGACTTACATAATATTACGAAATTCGAAGACTGTCAATTCTCTGGATACTTACTTTGAAGGTTGCCTGTTGTGAGGTATCCATGTAATATCAATAATATCGTCACCTTCAACGATACATTCTACAATGGGTGATTGTCCAGGGTGCACGGTCTGTATTGGTGGGCGCAGAGTAATCTTTGGTGCAGTGACTACAATTAAACTCGTGTAGATTGATTGCTGCACTTCGCCAAATTGGTTGTAAACGTTGCAGACGTACTCTCCAGAGTCGCTCTTTGAGACCTGAATTGAAATAATTATGTTAATTAGTTTTTAATTTATAAAATTATATTGATGTTAATCCTATTATAAAGTGTTTACTATGGTATTGATATAGGATCATTGGTTTCACTTACATTGTAGATTATGAGTCTTGATCGGTCAGGAGTTGCGTTTGGTTGTAGAGGTTGTCTATCAGCACGATCCCACCTCACATTGTCGCCAGGTTGACGGCAACTGTAACCATAATTTACCACATAAAATACAAATTTTATTAACTAAAACAACTTTTAATGCCAAAATTCTCTGCTCACTTTTCATAAAGTCACAGTTGATCAATAACTCGACTTTTGATATAAAATTTATTTTTTGTGATAGTTTGACTAAGGTAGTCAAAAAATCGTCGGAATAGAAGCGTATTTTAATTTAAGCCAATAACTAATAAAAATATACTGTAGGTAGGTTTTGGTACTAACGATAAGATAGTTTCTGGTTGTCCTTCAATGGTGATTAGGTTGCTTGGGACTTCGTCAGGTCTTGGAGGGTATCTAGGTGCGTCAGGGTCAATCTCACCGTCTCCGCTTCCTATAAGAAGAATGGATGATAAAAGGTTAAATTGTTAGAACCTAATCAACGCGATACCATAATATCTAGCGTAATTACAATTGATTTCTCATTTCACGTGTCTTCTGGGCTATTTTTAAGTATTTGAAATGACTTAGTAAAAACTTCAATAGTTTTACAACATTCATCACAGTTTTCACTACGTTATTTGAAACTCGCTGTTTTCAGTTAAGTTTATAGGAAAGCACTTACCATAGTCAAAACCTCCATCATCACCACCATCTCCTCTATCCACTACCACACTGAACTGTTCTTTGGTAGTTCCAGCAGCGTTGGTGGCTGTGCATGTGTAGAATCCGCTGTCTTCCTCTTTAGCTGATGCTATGCGCAATGAGGTGTGACCAGAGGCCGCTGGAGCTACGTCACGGTAATCGCCGACTGCGGGAGTAAAAAACAGGTGGTTTTAAAATAATTGTGAATAGTATCTATATTTCCTATTTTACTAATCTTGGACTATACGGAAACAAAGGATCACAATGAAAATTCATACTTTTCAAAACTCTTGAACCACAACGGCTTCTGTAATCTGACTTTGGTATTATACAGTGTATATTGTGATGCCAAAGTAAAATTGCAGAATCACACCAATGCATCATGACTGAAGATCACATGAAGCGAGGAAGGAAAGATGTTTTTTACTCACATTGGATGGACACTACAGGTTCGGGGTATCCGTTAGCTCTGCACTCGATATTGATGCTCTCGCCAGCGGAGACTTGCACGTAGGGGTTGGGGGCGATAGTGATCTCAGGGAGGGCCCTTACTTTGATGATAGCACTAGCACTGGCAGTTCCAGCATCGTTACGTGCTGTGCACGTGTATTCACCTTCATCGTTCACTTCGATTTTGGTAAACCTGTCGATAAAGTTACATTATACTTATTCGTTCTTTATAGAAACTGACACGTGCAAATTAGCTACATTAAAGATCTGACGAAAGGATGTACATGTGGTTGTTTGACTAACTACTGTGTACTATTATTAGCACCATAATTTTATTTGGTTATGGACGCAGATCAGTATAGTAATGGATATTTCATTAAATTTAAAATATTAAACAAGTAAGGTAACTCACTTAAGTTCATGATGGGGACGGATTTCTGTAAATCTAGAAAGAGGACGTCCTCCATTTCTGTTCCACGTCACATCTGGCTCAGGAATGCCTCCAAGAACTCGGCAGATCAATGTGTGTTCTCCTCCTAATTGCACTGCCTGCACCTTGTCTTCTGGTGGCCAAATCTCCACTCTAGGTGGTTCACGTCCTAAAAAAATAGTTTGTTTTAAAACCGACCAACACTATGCAGCTATACAGTCGTATAAAGTTTTAGATTTATTATAGATATATTTTTGTCCTTACTTTCAATTTCAACGAAGACATATAAATTGGCTACCGCGTTGGGACCAACACTGGCCTCGCATAGATAGTATCCTTGGTCGCTGTCCTTTGCGTTGTTTATGATCAACGTGTTACCGCGCTGACTGGCATCAGATCCGAAGGAGCCATCGTGCTGTGGAAAGATAACAAATAACGACATATTATAATAGTTGTATTAAAAATGAGACAGTTCATCATTTTATTCAGTTCATTACAATGAAATGAAATGTGTTACCTTTGTCCATTTAATGAGTGGGGTGGGGCGTCCAGAGACGTTGCAATCAACAGTTCCACTTCCACCAGTCGGGATCTTCAGACGGTCTACCGATGCTGAGATGTTATAAGTTTCTGTCACTGGTTCTGCCTGTACAACAGTCACAAGTACTTGTACGGGTGACACATTGGACAAAGTAGACTGGCAAATATACACTCCTTGGTTGTCAGGCTGTGCGTAATCAATGTACAGAACTCCATTTTCTGACCTCACGTTAGATAGGAACACAGCGTTGTCTTTTCTGTGGGAAATATCAATATTTAACATTAATATAACGCCTATGGAATGAGCACAATTTTATAAATTTGTTCATTCTAAGTGGCTTGTTTCTCACCTGACCCAGTCGATAGATCCTGCTGGGATGTTTGTAGTGCCTGTGCAAGCAATCATTATGCTCTGGCCTTCATCGACAGTTGGAGTGGGAATGGAGACAGTAAGTTTGTCACTTGGCTGATAGGATGGGCGGGGACGAATCGTGATTACTGCTGTGCGGTCAGCAGATCCAACAGTGTTGCTGGCAATGCATCTGTACAGAAAAATGTTTTTGAGAATACATCCGCAATAAAATAAATGATGATTTTGTTGATTTAGTTTAGCTTTGAAGAAGTTACCTGTATTCACCGGAATCTTCAACACGAGCACTTTCAATTTCGAATCTGGTGTCATAATACGTTGAAGACAATGGGAGAAGTTGGTTAGATCCTCTCTGCCACCTGATGGTAGGAGTGGGGTTGCCTCTGACGCGGCATTCCAACTGAACGAAGTCTCCTTCATAATAGTCGTTCACTGGCGGGTATATTTCGACGCTTGGCATAGTCATTTCGTTTCCTAAAAAGAAGTTCACAAATTGAGTAACGCATACCTCCTTTGTTACTGATTTTTACCATCATGAAAATCTACATAGCTAGAATAATAACTAACTCACCTCGAGCATAAAAGACCCAAAGAGGGACAACTGTTCCAAAAATGACAGCATAAAGAGAATATTGTAATGAGTACATAATAAGTATGTTATTTGTATTTTTATTTCTTCCTACTTATTATTTGTATTTTTATTTCTATGTCAATAAAATTAAAATAGTAGGATTGTTATCTTACCGGGCACTTTGAGGGTAGCAATAGCTTGGGCCGTGTTGACTCCGTCGTTGGTTTCGCAAATGTATTTGCCGCTATCGGAAACCTGCAGATTGGTGATCAGAAGGAGACCGACATTTTCATCAATTTGGTAGCGGCCAAGAGGTAGCTCTCCTCCGCTCTTGATCCATCTAACAGGCAAACGCATTCTCGAGTTACGACTTTGGGCTCGGCAAGTGAAGTTAACGCTGCTGCCGACTTCCTGGATCTTTATGGTTGGGCTGGTGATCATCACTTCGACTGTTGGTTCTGGTTGCGGAACGGGTACCGGTGTTACTGATGATTCACCGCCTGGGTAGGACACATATCACAGATTAGATTATTCAAAATACAGCAAATAACCGATTTAGTTTCATTTATCTTCCTATTTTCATTCTAATTCGACTGATTTTACGATAAAGCAGAACATAATCTAGCTTTACCAAAATGGAATAGAGAAAAACAGGTTTATATTAAAATTAAGTACTGAGGAGAAGAAACAAATTAAACGATAAATTAAAAGTTATATAGTTACATAATATTTAGATATACGAGTACATGAACTAGACAGAGACTATAAGATACGTAACGTCACGAATGAGTATTTGCTTATAAAGTATGAATGGTTACAGACGAGATGGACATACACAACATAGAGATACATTTTGATAGCAACACATTGTAGTAATTAGATATTATTGTGATCGCTAGATATAACGACAGTGAAGGACAAAACATATGTAGGTAGTTATTGTTTATTTGTTAAATGTCACGACTGATTGAACTTGAGCCACATTAACGAATGATGTCTGTTCGAAGCATGACATGAGGCACGAGGACATTGGACGGTGACGCCCGAAGCACCTTCGGTTGTGGTCGGCTACCTGGCTCCGGCAAAGTGGTGGTCAGTACACCGAGGGTGAATCCCTTTTCGGTGATAGTATGGCACTCGTAAGTGTCCCCTTGTTGTCTGGTGTCCCAGACGGTGTGCCAGACATGAGTTGAGTGCCATCCATCCTTGTGGAGTCTCGCTTCGTAATAATACTTTGGAGGATCTTGCTCCGCGCCCTCATGGTAGAACTTTATAGTGAGCGGTTCAGGTGCACGGTATTTGCATGTAAACGTCACCTTTCTTGAGTAAGGGTCGTCACCGGCTTCGTGGATAGTCGGATGTAGTTCCATTATCAATCCTATCGGTTGTCCATTAAAAGTTTATTCGTACACAATAACATTGAAATTTAAAAGAAACCCCTACCTAAGTAAAATTACTCTTAAGAATAAATTGCCTACTCGTCATTTTTTTGTACTAGAGTAAGAACTGTAAGTTCTATATCATGTTATATTTTTGTTTTTTCGTATTTTTGTATTATATTGTATAGCTGCTAGTTTGATTCATTGGATTTAAGTTGGTGGCTTACCGATAGTTGAGCAATCGTAGCCAGTGTATGGTGGCTGACAGTTGCACACAACTTGTCCCTGGCTGTTGAGCTGGCAGTCATTTCCGTTGCATGGGCATTGCTGGCAGTTACCACGTTGGTCCTTGTAGTAGCCTGGTTTGCAGCTCTCACAACTGGTTCCGGAGTGACCGGGCGGGCACATGCAGATCTGTAGAATTAATAATACAATATAATTCCTTGTTAGTATTTGATTGATTATGTAACCGAATTGACACCGTTTAGGCTTTTTCAAAAACTTACCTCAATGCCCTTGGCAGCTGGAAGGATCGGGTCGTAGTTTTCGGTAGCTGTGTCCATAGAAACATCGGCGATAGTTGTGTCATCGATAATGGGGACAACTGTAGCTCGTACTAGCACTCTCTTCAGGTTCCTAAGCACACTCATGAAGTTGCTTCTAGTTGCAGGAGTTACGGTGTTCAAGATGTACCATCCTTCTTCCTTCAGAGGAATTTGGTAGCTCTGCGAAATTTTATTATTATTTTAGTACAATAGTAGTAACACAGTTATTCCCTCGTAGGTCGTCTTAACCGTAGGGTTTGCAAAACCTCGCATAAAATACATTACAAATATTTTTAGAAACATTGTTTGCCTTTATTAAAATGGTGACTTACGTAAGAAACTCCAACTGGGAACTGGTTGGGGTTGGTCCAGTAGATAGAGATGTCACCACCGTCGAGAACGACGTCGGTTCCACGCTCAGACATCGAATATACGTTAGAATTGAATTTCTGTCTCAACGAGATAGTACCACCGTACGAGAGAACTCGGTTACCTGCAAAAAGAAAATATACCTATTGTCAAAATTTAGTTCAAAGTATCTACTGTTTGGTGGAATAAGTTGTACTACATAGTATGAGTTCTAGTATAATTTTTGCTTGTGAAGTTCTCTATTTAACCCCGTGAAGTGAAAGAAACAATACCAGAAAGGTAAAAAAATATGCAGTATGGTTTTTTACTATTCATCAAAATAATGACGGTATACTGCCAATAGAATAGTATATTAAAGAAGTATTTGTCCTATAAACTTACCAGGGAAGATAGGTAGTGACCAGTACAGTTCAATATCAGGTCTGAAGGCGAAAGTGTAGACCAGCTCGCTTTGTTGGAACATCGGTTGGAAGTTATCTTGGGTCACTCTCTCGGCGTTCAAATCCGTGATTGTAAATCCTCCATAGTTTTCACCAAGTACTGGCGCTGCGATTGGGACCCTCGTAAAATGATTACCCTAAAGAAACAAGAGTCATATATATTTAGAGTACAGTAACCAAAATATTTAGAAATTTAACTATCGTCACGGCATTTCGTGCTATCATGCTATGACTTACTTCGTGGCAATCAGAAGAAACGCCAGAACAGTAGCAGGATAGGCATCCGTTAGGGTTGTTAGCGTCAAGTCCGAAGGAACCTGGTCTGCAACGGTCGCAGGAATCACCCTCAACGTTTTGTTTGCAGAAGCAGTTGCCGCTACTGTCACAGGGGGCGGTTGTACCACGGGGGTCGCATCTAAAATATAAAAGTGATAAATGGTAAATCATCTATATCACGTCTTTTACTTTCTTGTTGAGATAGACTGTGGTCCGAGATTATAATTGCTTCAGATTGGCTGACGGACTCTTCTATTTTTGACGTTTCAAAAGTGCCTGTAGTTCATATAATTATGTCTAGTTGGAAAAAAATGCTTTTGACTTTCAAATTGACTTTAAGAACGGATACTTCAAATTATATTTCAATATATCAATATATCCTTTCTTCGAATGCTGGTCAGTGCTTTCAATCTTTTTATTTCTTGATTTTATCCTTAGCACAACAATATTTACTCACCGGCATGGCTGCACAGTGCTAGAGCGCAGTTCGACGCAGTTTCCGTAGGGATCCCGTTCGTATCCAGGCTTGCACAGCTCGCACTCATCACCATCAGTATTGTCAGCACAGTCCTGAGTGTAGCAAATAATATAATGCTCAATCATTTCAATGGCTTTTTTACAAATCAAGATTTATCTTTAGGCCAAATATTTTGTTTTATTAACCAAAATACATTTTTGTACCTAATGGATTGTTTGAAATGAAGAAAGCCGATTTATTGAAAAAAATAACTTACGTAGCACACTCCGGTTTCTGGGTTGCACATGTTCGATTTACCATTACATTCACATGGTTCACAGTGTTCCAGGTAAAGACCAGTTGAGCTCCTGAAATTTATTATTTTTTAATTATTATTGACAGTTTTAGTTTCAAATAACATTTAAAATTTTGTATAAACTTACCTCTTGAAGCCAGGTGCGCAGTCTTCGCAGGAAGTTCCGACGTAAGCAGGGGGACATATACATTGTTCCACGTGGAAAGCAGTAGGGCCATAACCGTCAGGTTCTGCAGTTTCAATGGTAGCACTGACTGGTGATGCAAATTCCGTGCCAGGAGCATAAGTGGCCTTGATCAAGATTGTCTTTACGTCAGCCAATGCGAGAAGGAAGTGCTCACGAGACACCTCCTTGCCATCAGGTCTGTTTAAGAAAAAGTATAAGATAATTACTAAAATCTATGAAAATAATTGACATTACTTTAGAAAGAGACTATATATTTACCTCTGCCATCCCTTTTCAAGGAACTGTACGCTGGCGTTCAAAATACCTTCATGAGATGCTACGAAGTCACCGAAGTAGTGGAATGTCAGGCGGTTTTTCTGTAAACATTAACGATGAGATTTATTTTTACAGTTTTGTTTTAGTTACATAAATTCTAAACTCTTAATTACTCACGCTGATCAATTGAACATCAGCCGCGGTGTTCCTGTACCTCGCATCGGGTGAGTTCAGTACGTTCTTCAACACATAGTTTAGTGAACCACCATATGATGTCACCTTATCACCAGCGAAGCTGTTCGAAATGATTTAAGAGAGTTAACATTTTTGACTTGAAAATATATGGAAAAATATCACCATGCTTAGGTAGTTTATGTAAAAAGTTAATATTAGCATAAGATACCTGGAAGGCAGACTCCAGTAGTAGATAGTGGATTGTGAGCGGTCAAGCTGGTCAAAGGAAATATCACCCCTGTACAATTGAGGTTTGAGTTCAGTTTCCACTGGTGCCGTGTATCTGACAGAGCCGGGTGGTCCAGTTGGGGAGATGTTGTAGATCTTCACCTGATCCACGATCTGAGGTACGTTGAACTGTACACTGATTGTTTTACGGCGTAGGTTGCTGCTCATACATTGTTGCGAGACACCCGAACAGAAGCAAAGCGCGCATCCATGCCTTAAATAGAAAAAATATGGTAAATATTTGTTCTTTTTGTGAATCAAACTCATTCAGTTACTTTTATTGAATGAAAATTTTGTGAAATATATATTAAAATATCTGTAAATACGAGTAAACAGAAATTATTATTACCTAAAATCTGAGGACAAGTAGAAGGAGTCGTTCTTGCACTGGTCGCAGTAGCGTCCCTGTACGTTCTCTTTGCAGACACACTCATCTGGTGGGCGGATGACCTTGGTACCAGTAGGGTTGCAGTTGTCCCTTACAGCAGGTTTGCAGGAGTCTCCAGGAATCATTGGGTTACCTTCATAGCCAGGGGCGCACACCTCACAGTGCTTGCCTTCATAACTGCAAATCATTAATTATCTCATTAAGATTCAATATCAACAGTCAGTAGAGTTATTGTACTAAAAGATTATAGTGAAAAATGAATGTAATTTCTTAGAAATTATATTTATTTTTCGATATTATCAGCAAAAATTCTCACCCAGGGAAGCAATCACAATATACGCTTCCATCGGATCCTAGTGAGCAGGTCCTGGCGAATTGGTTTTCGCGATTAGTCAAGGGGCATGGGCATTGCTTGCAAGGTATGCCGCTGGCTGGATCACCGTAGGTTCCTGGTGGGCATTCTTCGGGCATGCAGTCACCGAGCCAAGGCCCAACCTTCTTGCGAATATAGCCTGAGGCGCATTTCTAAAAAATATCGATTGCATTTGTTAGTGGTGCTTAATGTTCTCGTATTCAGACAACGCCTGTAACTGAAATACTTTTATGTAATAGTCTTTTTTACCTGACAGGAAAGTCCAACGTACTCCTTGGGGCAGGTACACTCTTCCACCAGGCTGGCGGCACCGAGACCAACGTTGATATGTTCAGCAGACTCCATAGCGAAGTCGGAAATATTTACTCCGGCGTTGTTGAGGTCTGAGCGTAAGAGGATCATTTCGATTTCGTCGAGGCTGAAATTGAATGGTACATTACGTGAAATGTAAAATTTACCGAAGGAATACTAAGAGATTTCGAATTAATACTTACGTCATCATAATATCTTCTCGGGTTGCAGGTGTGTAGCCAGTAGAGCTGTTCTTCAACCAGTCTTCGGGTGTCAGACGGGCCTCAATATTCAAGTCTCGGGAACCACCAGCACGACTAATGTGGAACAGATTGCCGTATTTTCCCTGAACACAGAAAGAAGAATTAGAATTAAAAGAAACATAATCTAATATTCTTTTTTATTTTTATGAATCATTTTAGTTACCTTGATAATGATGGTCGGTATGCTGTCATCGAAACCATAAACTTGCGTGTGTGGTGACACAGTGTACTTGATGTGTCCACCATAGGACTTCAGCTGGTTGCCATTGTAAGATTCAGGTAGCGTTAAGTACGGATGTGCGCTGGGCCATCCAGATGTGTCAATTTTAGTTACCTGTATTTATATAAAAGAAGTTAGTCAACCACAAAACACATTTACCTCTAAATTATCAAAATTATGTGAGTGTTTTAAAAATACACTAGCTGTTAACTTACCGCTGCACCATTCCTCAAAGGTTGGTAATAATATTGATTAGATATGGGTTGCGTATCAATAATGACATCTCCTGATGGGGAGTTCCTGATTCCAATTAGTCTAGTGCCACCTTCTCCGAGAGGAGTTGGCATATTGTAAGTGTATAAATCAGCGCTGCGGCACTGGCTGGACTTTCCGAAACAGAAGCATCGGATGCATTCACTCTCTGAACGGGCCTCACTGTAAAAAGATGGACATGTTTTGTAAACATAGACTATTCTATACTATTCTATAAAATATTTGTCGTTGCTCTGTCGGGTTATTTTAAATTAAAACAGAAGACTGCACAATTAATAGGTTTAATTTCTACATATATCATAATCAAGACCGGCTCACACCGATACAAAGAAATGCCCGAATGCAATGGCTGGCGTGTGTCGATGAAGAAGAAGCGCGGCGCTCGCGCGGCCGTGGGTTTTTATACCCCGTCCCGCGCGTCGCCGCCTCTATGGTCGATGGCCATACTAATGCGCCAACATATTTCAATTACTAAAATGTTTCTATGGTTGTTTAATTTAATTGTTTCGTTTTGTGTTACATACTAACATTCTTTTTTTTACTTAAAAGAGATAATGTCAAATTACTATTCTAGCAAATATTATAAACTATTATTAGTAAGCAGTCATCGTTATATTTCATTACAAATCTTCGTCTTACTTGTTAAAGTATCCGCGAGGGCAGGGGTCAGTCTTATTGACGAATACAATGGAATCTGGCGCGGCGAACGTAGTACCTTTGTTGTTGATAGCCTCGCAGGAGTAAGCTCCGCTATCTTCAGGCTAAAAACAGACCACAAGTTAAAATGGCAGGTCATGATGATCATCTCGAAGTTATTGAAAAGTAAGTCCCTTGGTTCACCAAGTAGGTGATGAAGGGACTTAGGCTTCATAACGCACGTTTAGGGCCTAGGCGGTCAAAGGCTAGTGCGTAAGGGGGCTTAGTTATAAATTCCAACCAACCATCATGTTGGGGCATGTAATAACACCAATGCCGGAATCGCTGGTGAAGGAACATTTCGGTGGGACGTGTCCCCAGTTCAACCGCCATGAAATCAACGGGACGGGTACTCCGACAGCCTCGCATCTCAGTATCAACGTATCGCCAGGGTTCAGCTTCACATTCGAAGGTTTCGGGGGACTTGTGACGTGTACAGGCACTAGAAAGATAATGAAGTAATTTTATATTTACTAGCTTACCTTTAAAAAATATTACACTATTCTTTAACTTTATATTTTAGTTCTTTTTAAGTGTTATTAATTGTTTAGAAAATCAAGAAATAAATAGAAATAGTTAGCTTGTTTTCCTTTATCGGATCCATCACAAAAATATATTCTCAAATAGTTAGAAATATGAACAGTAACTTATACCTATGGATAAAACATGTAGTTATACTTACTGCAACCATATTCATCGGAGCCGTCCTGGCAATCAGTCTGTCCATCGCAGTGGAAACTCCTGGGAATGCATTGGTCTCCAGCACTGCAACTGAATTCAGCAGGCGAGCATCTGCCGTCGGTCGGCCTTCCACAGTTTTGTTCATCAGAACCATCACCGCAGTCGTTTTCGGAGTCACAGATCCACGTCTTCAGTACACACTTATGGTTGTTACACTTGAACTGGTTGGGTTCGCACATGCCGTCGTGGTCTGTAAGGCGTTAAAATCTTGTGTAACTAAGATTTTTGACACATATTGTTTACATTCTTCAATCTTTGAAAGATACTGTAGAAATAAAATAATAGAGTTTTAATAATACGTACGGCAGTTCTCCTCATCAGATCGGTCGGCACAGTCGAAGTTGATGTCGCAAACGGCAGATTTAGGGATGCACTGGCCGTTTCCACAAGTTGCCTCGTAGGGTTGGCAGCTAGAGAATGGCGCATAGGTCACCGCTGTAGACATACAAATAGGTGTCCTTGTACTAGCTGTTGTATATCAGATTAAACCTCGTTTGGATGGATAGTGATATAATGGGAAGGATGACAAAAGACTGAGTGAGGAATAATATCAAAAAAGGAAGTTTGTGATGAATTGATAGCAAATGAAAATAAACTGAGCAAATCTCAGTAATTTTGGACGAGAGACAATCCGTTAGAAAGTTTTATTAAATAATTTGATAGGTTTAATTTCAATTGTAATGCTGTGCTATGGAATTCAAACGAAATTTGAGTTATCAAAATAAATTATTGGGATTTAGGTCCAGTAGTGAACGGAAGCTGGTTATTGAAGATGATAATTAAAATGATGATCAGATACTAACGTGCACTGTCAACTTGCAACTCAACGCGGACTTGTGAGCCAGGGAATCTCAAGTAGTCATCAGCTTGGCAAATGTAAACTCCACTATCGCGTTCCTGTAATTATAATGTTAATTTAAATGATACATTATTATGTATATTTCTTTTGAGTTATTTAATCGGGTTCTGTTATTACCTACTGTTTTTTATTCATAGATGTTTTAGGAAATAAGTGGAATATGCAGTAGACATGTTACTTCAATAATCTATGGAGTTTCTTGCATATACTTTTCTAACAGTTTGAATTGAGCAAATAGCTTCACCAGGGCGTTGACTGACAGACTGCTGTCTTGTCTTTAAACATTTTACTTGAATTATGACCGTTTTCACCAACTTGGATTGAGGGAGCACCTAAATTAACCCCTTCACTATACTTTTAGGTGTCAATTTTAAGTTGGTGAAAATAAAAAAAATTCGTTAAGCCCATCTTAACTTAGGGGTTCATTACAATTTAAGAGAGGTTGTAGGAAATAGACACTAGCATTCTTTTTTATTTTTATGACGTAAGCCGGTAAACGAACAAACGGATCACGAGATGGTAAGCAATCGGCGTCGCTCATGGATATGTGGAATACCAGAGAAGTAACAAGTGCGTTACCGGCCTTTTAGGAATTTGAAGATTCTTGGGGATTCAGGGATTGGGGAGATAGGGGAAGGGGAGGGCTTTAATAGGATATCCGATAACTTCACTCTCACAACGGAAGCGTTGTTTCACAACGCTTATCACTCCAGTAAGGTCGGCCCGTTCGTGCCGAAGCATGGTTCTATTGATTTAAATAAAATATTTGATTTTATAGATAATTAATACTTACGGTAACTTTGTACATTTCCAATCGTCCTCGGACATCAGTTGAGCCGGACTTGATACTTCCTCCTTGTTTGGTCCACCTGACGTTCGCACGCAGAGGTCCCTCATCACGACATTGGAAGACCACATCTCCTCCTATAGAACCCAAGATGCATCATTTAAAGCTGATGGTGATATCATCAGCTAAAACCCATGATTCCCAACGCATTCCAGAATTCCATGATATGTTTCGTATGAACGGGGGTATATGCTGATGAGTATATGATACAATTTTCTTTTAAGTGAGTATAGTGACGACATATAATTTGGAAAATGAATCTATATAGGTATTTCAGGAATAAAATGGAACTTGTAGGATATTTAAAGAGCAAAACAGAAAAAGGACAAAAATATGACTTTGAGTTACGATAAAAATAACCACAATATTTTTTGTTTTTTTTTTTATATCGATACAGAGTGCCAAGCATCGCATAACTATCGCATTGGTAACGTAATAGTATCGACCGCGTTCGGCTTTCTGATTGGCCGGCTCCAAGGGACCAACCTATCAGGGCGCCGAACGCCGGCGCCGTTAGTTATTCGCGCTTAGCACTCTAAAAGGTAATCATGTGATGAATATTATACTATTTGTAATTTCACATACAAATCCCAATTCCTATATCGTGCTGTAATGGAACCCATAGTATGTAGTCACACAGTCGATATGGAATAAATACTGCGTTTATTATAAGTTAATAATCCCAATTTTTAGAATTACTTGTTAATGAAACCGATATTGAATAAAAGTATTGTGTTAATAAATTTATTTTCTATTTGTATTTGTAATTTTGAACGAGACTCAACTTAGAATATTAAATGAATATTTTGTCGTTTAAGCAATTAATAATAAGATTTTATCTTTTTCTTCTGAATGATAAATTACATTTCAATGATAGAGACAACACTTTCTATAAATAAGATGATTGAAAGTTGAGTTACGTTTGTATAGTTGTCGTTAAAACCCATGTTATACTTAATTAAAAAAATTATAAATATTATCAAAATAATATATAAAGTATCCCTATTATTGTATAAATTAGAAATAAATAGTAATTATGTATAATAATGAATATTGTTCGAAAATATTAAAATAAAATATTTTATTCATGCAAAAACCCACGTAGTAAACTAAAAACTAAAATGATTCGATGAATACAATTTTTTTATAATAATACATTATGTAATTATAAATAATATATCACCCATAATGTTACGCACACTGATTCAGTTTAAGCAAAACCAAAAACGCTAGAATTTAATTTATATTTTAGACCCCAATATTAATAATAATTAATAATAAGCTTTATCTTTTTCACGTCATACAATACTACTTATGACACTCAAACTGTTTTTATTTAATAAGCTATTAAATGAAATGTTATGAAAACCCAGTATTATGGTTGCCCAAAAAATAAGTCAGGCAAGCCGACTCACCAGAGTTCACTGTTCCACCACCATGAAATAAATAATAAAGAGAGAATATTAATTATTAATTCTTAAAAAAATCTATTGATATACCAGTCACCTGCCTACCGTTACATTTATAAGTAATAATAAGACCTCCACCGATTATGGAAAAATAATACATAAAATTAATAACAGTCTGTTTTCTTACTTCCATCACCACCATCGTTGAGAACATTTGATTTTGTTAAGAAAACAGATTGTTATCTACAAAAGAGGGACAAACACAACTGGATTTTAAATTACTTCAGGTGTGCCTGTAATTCGAAATCAACGAATATAATAATATTTAAAATTTTATCTAAGCATTTTGTTTTATTAATCGATCTAATTAAACGTTTGTTGCGTGCGTTTGCACGACGTTAGCGGTGTAGCTAACGTCCATCACCTTCGAGCGTCTAAATTAAACTGACTTAAATTGTCCGTACCAGTATCATCATTGCATACTTACATTCTTTTTTTTCACTACCCTACTTATTTTAGTTGCATTTCATGTAAACTAAACAACATTTACTAAACTTAAAAGTTTAGTTGCATTTCAACTAAACTTTTAAGTTTAGTCCTAAACCTTCTAGGTTTTTCTAATAATGGGTTTACCTTTCGTGGTTATACAGTTACCATTTAAAAAAAAATATTTGTTTTCTAGTTATAGAATTACAGATCGCCTATTACTTTCCTATTCAGAAAATGCCTAATGATGTTATGCCCTTTTTCATCAATTGATACTACCATAAAATTATTATGGAACCTTTGAATATTGAACCTTCGAAAATCTTAATTTTACTTAGCTTCACTAGGATCGCAGATTTAAATTTTATAGTTGCTAGTCGTAAGTAGTTGGTACAAGGACATCAAAAAATATTTTAACTTCCTTGAGTTGGTACCTATAATCTCTGGACCAGCTAGACCGTCTAGGTAATTTTGAAAAAAATCTTATTAAAATTACATACATACATAACATCACGCCTTTTATCCCCGAAAGGGTAGGCAGAGGTGCACATTACGGCACTTAAGGCCACTGTAATGTAACACCCACTTTTCACTATTTATATTACGAGTCCCATGTAACAGGGGGTGAGCCTATTGCCATATACGGGGCACAGTTCCAGACTCCGTGCTACCACTGAGAAATACCCAGTAAAGCCCGACCCGGGAATCGAACCCGAGACTCCTTGACCGGCAGTCGCACTTGCGACCACTCGGCCAATGAGGCAATGAGGCAATCTTATTAAAATTATATTATTTAATTATTAATTGCCTTACCGTGTCTGACTGACTGGTTTGCTGGGTAGGTCATTAGTTTCAGCGCTGGTGGACCTGCAAAAGTATTTAGTATTATTACATTTTAAATAACAATTACGTTATTATTCATCAAGTTATTTTTAGTACTTATGTTTACTAAAATTAAAATATATATATATAACTATTTTTATACATGTTACAATAAACATTATGTACAATATATTATGTGTATTTATGTACACTGTACAATTAATACCTACATTATCTGACGGTTCAAGAAAGTTACAGGTTATTATACATTTCATTTACAATTAATTTAAATACATTCCGGAATTCATATTCATTGTTTAATCAATTGTAGGAAAAAAGAATATTGTATACAAGTATGTAATTACTTATTTATAAAATTATTCCGGGACTGGATTTAATATTTAATTTAAAGTGTATAAAACATTAAATATTGAGTGACTATTAAATTTTCATAAAAAAAACAATGAACCGCAGATCTTCTAATTTTAAACATTTCAAAATTATACACCATAAACTGTAAAATAACTATATACAACAACTATTTTACATATTTTTTCTGTATTTTTAATTAATTTTTTTTTAAACTCTCCGCACTCGATTTTTCCCTTATCGTAGATGCGTTTACCAACGTATAGGTTTACATACACATAACACCCAGACCCGGAACAACAATCTGTGGATCACACAAAGGGTTGCTCCGTACGGGAATCGGACCCGCGACACGTTGCACGGCAGTCAGTCAACCACCGCGCCAACCGTGCACTCATACTTTTACAAAAGTAATATAAACCGTAGCATGTAAACATATAAATATTTAATACGGTGTATAATTATTGAAAGTTATACAACTATTATACATTTTCACCTTATGATTAGTATAAAGTTTATCTTATGTTATCAATAATTCAATGTCCAGGCAAATAATAGTTAATCTGACTACCGACTTTCGTCTCTTTATAAGTCGATCAGTTCAAACCAAATTGTTGTAAGTATAAAGTATTAGAAAATGTGTTAGACATTCTACAGAGGAAGTAAGTTAGTCCCAAATAGAAGACTTCGTAAAACCTATGCAATAAATTAGATTTTATTTCATTTGAAGAAATAAATAGATTTATTAATTACTTTATTTCATACAATATATGCAAAAAAGATGACCTTTTTTGGCTGCCTATCAGATTACATACATCAACAGTCTATACATGCCCAATGCTGACTTAAGGCCTCTTCTCAAACGGTTTTTGAGCTCTGGTCTGATCACTACCCTTGCTCAATTTGAAACTTAGGTAGGAATAATTCGAAATTATAAGCCCAGGTTTCCTCATGATGTTTTCCTTAGTTGTTTGTCAGCGGTGTCTAAATAATCTTTCAAATCGATCAAAAGTATACACATAGAAAACCCCATGTGGTTATAAAAAGTCGTACATTTATTTATTCCCAATTATAATCAGCTGTAACCATTATTTTATTTCTATTTCTATGTTATTAACCACGACGTACATTTAAACATATTCTATAGTCGTGCAGGACGTCACAAGTTAACATTAATAGTTAGACAAAAGACGTTCACAATCTAGTTTTCTGTAATCTAGTACCTAGACAGAAACTAAGATTCAAAACCAAAACGATATTAGTAAGGAGTTTCCGTTAAATAAGAGGAGTCTGTCCGTTAAGACTATGTTAAAAACAACTTCTAAAGGATTCGCAATCATCATTCTATTTCTTACTGTTGCGGGGACAATCAAATTCGTCACTGTAGTCGAACGGACAGTCAATATGTCCGTCACAACGCCGATACGCGTCTATGCACGGACCGTTCTCACAACGCCATTGGTGAGCGCTGCATACACCTAGTAAATTCATGATGTTTTAAACCTAAAATCTAGACTAATCTATGTTTACTTACCAGAAATAAAATGTTACATTTTTCATTATATCAATTTCAGAATAGACAAAAATGTATTGTGTGATTTTCACTTAATTTTAATAACAAAATCTATCTTCATTTTGCCTGCTCCGTAATTGACGTGCAAGGAAAACATGATTTATTATTCAAAATAATTTTACTGACACTGATAATACATAAAACTAGAATAGAATAACTTTGGTCCTTGAAGAAGAATACTAATTGTTCTCGTCATCGTAAAATATACTTTAAAACATGCTTACCATTGCTGTTGACAGGAACTCTGCTGGGGTATCTTTGTGTTGTAGGGTAATTATAGACGACCCGAGTAGTCACTGGTAGCCGAACGGTGGTGGACTCGGGGCAGTTGATCTCATCAGAGCCATCTGAACAGTCAACGTGACCGTCGCAGAACACCGAAGTCGACATGCATTGACCGTTGTGACACTGGTAGCTGTCTTCAGGACACGCTGTAACATTACAAGCAATGGATTAAACATATGTAATTAGTAATCAACTAATAGACAGAAAGGGATAAGTTTTTAAACGTGCAGGATTAACATCACACTATAACTAATACGGTGTATAGATTGGCTATATTGTCGTCGAACTTTATCGCTAATCTGCTCCAAAGTTTGACCACAACTATTGAACATTCAAACAGACATACATACATACATCGTTGTCAAGATGTAGTTAACACTATAAAATGGTATAATAACAGGATTACAAGCAAAAGTGCGGAAACGTGCAGGAATTAAAATGGTTCAGACAAATGACAAATAATGATGACGTGTCATTCGCCACCAGGATTAATAAAGTTACTTCTATAATTAAAAATTATTTGAGAATTATTTTGAAAATTGTAATCCAAGTAGCAAACGACATTTAAGAATCATTCCAGATTGATGTTATGACAATGATGACAGAAAATAAATTCGAACTGCCTGCAACGTTAATCTAAAATGGGTCTAGCCTACACGTAACACATAATGTATAATTATGGTAAAATTATATGTAAAATATTCTTGGATTGAAAGGAGTAAAAATAGGGTACGCTATGTTTTTTTTTGTTTAAAACAGACTGCATTCCAAAATATTTGATTTCTTCCACACTTGAGGGCATTTAGACGCGATCAGAAACAGTGATACAGGCTGATTAAAATTGTTTGTTAATTTAACTAAAGAAAAGAAAATCAACATACTTGTAATGAGTAATTACAAAAATAAAAATGGTCTTGTCATACATTTATGTAAAGTTACAGTACTTTGTAGATCTTTCGGGACAAATACTTGTTGGATATAGTAAACCCTCAAATGTGGCAGTCAAAAATGAATGAGATACCCGTATATAAGCAGTTCTGTTCGTCGGAAAAGTCTGAGCAATCGTATATGTTATCGCAGCGTCGAGAGTGCGGGATGCAGTGTCCGTCATAACAAGTGAACTCAGATTCATGGCAGGCCGCAAGCGCTGGTGAACGCGACGCTCTCGTCATGTACCAAGCTAAACACCCATTTATTTATCACCATCATGTAAAAACATTATAGTCTATTCTACTCTGGCAGCTAATATGAAACTTGTTGAGAACTATCACGATGTGACGTCACACAACGAACGGCACAACGTGTCTCATATAATGTTTGATAGTAATTTAATCAATTAATTAATGACGTAGTAAAAATCCTTTAAGGGACTCAATTGGTATTACTTTTACGTGTACTTTACCTCAGTCAAAGTGTTATCGTAGAAAACTGAAGAATACTCAAGAAATATTCTCTATAAGATAGTATCAGGTCTAAACGGAAAAAGTGTTTTTGAAGTTCTCTTTATCCTAGAAGGCACTATAGCAACTAATTATTTAGTGCGTGGTGCATTATTAATTTGTAGAAAGTGCCATTAAGTGTTAGTTCAAAAAGTGCAGAAGTTAGTGCGATTTTTTTGGTCTATAAGCGTGTGAGTGAGTTGCGATCCATTCACATTTTCTTCTGAGAGACTAATGCTTGTTACAGACCTCTGAGAATGTTTAAATTCAAATTTTGTATGGACATATTTTTACTTGCATAGCTAAGTTTTGGTAGTTCAGTCTATATCAAGCATTAGCGAGTGTATTCCACCTAAAGAAATTACATTATCAAATTGAACTCTCCATAGCTAATATTGTGACACAATATTTTATTAAAAACTTATTGGCAAGATATTGAAGATTTCTATATTGACCAATTACGTTTGCGTCTGAAATAGATTTTTTTTATATTTAAATGTGATGTTTTTTTTGACAAATGGCATTATGATACTTACGGCAGTTTGCTTCATCAGATCCATCTTCGCAATCCTCGTGGTAATCGCACAAGAAGTTAATGTCGATGCAAGTATTGTCAGAAAGACACCTGAATTGTTCGAAAGTGCATTGCTCTGAAAATAATAAATAATATTTTTCCATTATATACTTAATCGATAATGGCCAATTGAATATCTTAAAAAAATAGCTGAAGTAAGTAAAGACTTCAAAAAATATTGATTGAGACAAAATTTAGGGTCAGCAACAAAAAGATTGTTGACTAGTAGATGCTGTCTATAAAATTAAGTTCACTTATCTACTATTGATATTGTGATTATAGTTTGAAATAAGTGTCTTAACTAAAAATGCTCTCTTACAAAAGGAATCTGCAAATACTTACGTTCAGGGCTAGTGATCATGGTCTTATTGCAGTTTTTCTCATCGCTACCATCAGCACACTCAGGGATCCCATTGCAACGTAACGAGTACGGAATACATTCATCGGTGTCACATCTAAAATAAAAATATTTAATTTACACTTCATACCCTGATCAACACGCAGAAAACGCTATATCAAAATGCTAGCATCTTTCGCTATAGGCCTTAAAGTATAATTTCGCATAACCAAATCAGAAATTCACATACGCACGCAAGCAGATCAGTATTATAATAATCAACTCTTTTGCATCAGTTACCTGAAGTCATCGGGACGATCACAGTGATAACAGCTGACTTCATCAGAGCCGTCCGAACAGTCTCGAACGCCGTTGCATATGTCAGTGGTCGGTAAACATCGCCCATCGCATTCGTGTTCACAGGCTTTAAAAACAATACGATTTATGTAAATAATATAAAACTGAATGTATCACAAGGATCAGATAACGACAACATCGCAAATCTTCGCAGTTATAAAATTTAGAGACATATTGCCATGGCACCAACTGCAGTTGTATAAGTACTCGCAAGGATTTATAAATAAACATTTAGACACTAATTTATCAAGAAGGACCGAATCACAATGAAACTGCAAAACATTTTTAAGAAGTAGAAATAGTAATACAAGTTCATGATATTAAATTAGTTCAATGTGACTCGGTCCGAACACATAGCCTTAAAGTGTAAGTTAAAAAGAAACACATCATAGTAATCAAATTGCAATGATAATGTATGAGAACTACAACATTATTCTAATCAACAAATTCCATTTAAAATCAAACTTTATTCGTTGATCTATTTCGATTAGTTTTTCGCCTAGCCAAAGACTATAAAAGGTTTGGAACAGTTTCAGAATGATGTTGTAGTTCAGGAGCCTTACCATAAACTCCAAATGATATTGAATACCAACTTAACATTAATTTACATAATCACGCAATGAGGGATATCGCACTTGCGTTTGTCATTAGGGGCGTTATTGTGAAAAATTATTCTTTCCCAATAACATGTTAAGCCTAGATATTATATTTTGGACTGCGGCATGTTAGGACTATATAGCGAGATCAAAATCGATAGCCCTCATATCGTCTTAAATAGGTAAATAATCAGAAAAATCTAAGATTGACGACCGGTATTTTGGTGAAATCTTTGAACATTAAATTCTCTAAAGATGTAAAAAAGACACAGAATATAACTCAATATACCTTCACAGCCTTCTTCGTCTTCGCCCCCGTCGCATTCAGGATTGCCATTGCATTTACCAGCGCATAGGATTCTAGAGCCTGGGTTGCAGGTAAAGCTATCCGGAGGACACGACGTACCTGAAATCATCGTTACATTATAGTCTCCAATCATCACATTCCACTGTCCCCAGTGCGATTATCACATTGCGAACAACTACTGCTGTTACCACTTCAAGTAAATTATCAGAAATAATGACAAATTGATTTTAATCCCCCAAAAACATTGATTGTAACTGAAAAACACATATAATAAGTGAAAATTCAATTTGAGAGTGTCTAACTACGAGAATAACGACAAAAATCATCTGCTAGAAGAATTAGAAAAAGATTGAGGTATCATGCGGTATGCATGCGCATGCTTCTAGCTGTAACAATGTAAATGTGGACCTTTTATCACATTTGATGGTTCACACTGTTTTTCATCCGAATGATCGGGACAGTCAAACCGACCGTCACATCTTCCTCGTACACTTACGTATACACCATCGATGCATTGCCAACGATCCATTCCTTGCGCCGCTAAATATTTACACATAATTAGATGACGAGTCTTACGACAGTTAATTTTCGTTCACTATCGTTCGTCAATCGTTTTGGATTGTAAAATTGAACTTTCAAAAATATTTAAATATTGAGTGGAAAATGAAATTATTAACATCCCTGTATGTAAACCGATTGACGAATTACATTGAACGGCGAAAAAATAATGACAGCATTCATTAAGCGTTACTTACGGCAATTGTACTCGTCTTCGCCTTGACTGCAATCATCCCGACCATTACAAAGATATGCTATATTTATACAAGAACCATCCCGACATGGGTATTGGTCCCTTTTGCAGGGGCAGCTGGTCTCGTCGGAGCCGTCATCACACTCCACCGTTCCGTTGCATCTGGCATCGGCTTGCACGCACATTCCATTCGTGCATTCATATTCATAAGCCATGCAAACTGTGCCTGCCGTAATAATGCGCCATAACCACATAAATACACCAGTAAGGGACTCATTATAGAGTGTTGAATCCCTTTCTAGTGTGGTTAAATTAAAAATACATAAATTAAAGCATTCAAATGTTTAAAACATTTAGCTGTCTAAGATAATAATAAACTTGATGTAAAAGTTAATTTCAATTTTATTAAATCTTGTAAATAATTCCATCGTCAAGTTTATTTTTATTATTCTTGTTATGAAAATTAATCTAGTTAAGTGCAACTTTAATGCTGTGCATTCAAATAAGCGATCTGATGTTGGTAAAATTAGTTGTAATTATGTATATTAACATGCTGAAGGGCTTGGACACATCACCACGGCACACCCGTCGCTCTACCGTAACGGCACCGCAATGGCGTCGCACAATAGCACGGCCCAGTTGACGTGATTACCGTGGTGATGTACACCGTCACCTTTTGTACATTCTCAATAATAACAAAATTTACAAATAGAATCATCGTTAATAAATTTGGAAAAATTCAAACCATAAGAGCAATGACGTTCATCAGAACCATCCTGACAATCGTTCGTGCGGTCGCAATGTTTGGATGCTGGGATGCAGTAGCCGTTACCACACTTGAAGTCGTTTGCACCACAAGCTAATTGGTAAAAGAAATATGGTGGGTTCATATTCATAGTTTAATAGTTGAGAAGGACTAAGACCACCAGCAATTTGGAAACGAAAGATTGAAAGAAAATAAAATAACAGTGAAAGAAGAACAAAACTTTGAAGAAATAAATTGAAATGATAACACATCACCATGGAGTCTCATTGGACAGAAAGATAAATCAAATGAAATAGATTTCAAAGTAAAAGTCAGAAAGCCAAGTACAAGAACCCTTTATAGTATAAACTTACGACAGTTCTGTTCGTCGGATAAATCTTCTGGCGTACAATCGTAATGACGATTGCATCTTAAAGATTCGGGAATAATCTTGCCATTTCTGCATTTAAAGTAGCCAGTGGCTGGAAATACATGCGAAGCGATACATGTAAACTGATCATGACATGTGATAGGTAATGTTATGGTGAATAGTATTTAGGATACTCTATCGTGCATGGAATACCATTGTTTCAGAGCTAGTGATGACGTTTGTGAGTTTAATGAAATTGATTTTAATTTTGATATTATAGATCTAGAGTGGGCTAAATGTGATGTGTTCTCTAGGGCTATGGGAGTCTCTCTTACCAATACAGTTTCTTTCGTCGGATCTATCTGTTGGACAATCGACCCGTCCATCGCATCGCTTACTTCGTTTTATACATAAGCCGTGGTCACATTGCCATTGGTCTGATCTGCATGCTTTTTTAAAATGACATATCGTACATGAGTTATTCGGTTAGAAGTTAGTCCAAATCCAATCCATCCAAAATGTGGTTTTGTTTATCAAAGTTTACCAATTCAAAACTATTATCACTATTTTTATCAAAACTTCAAATAATTATTATTGGTATTTTAGATTCTAGGTAACAAAATTAATAAATTGTTCTTCAAAGACTAAGAAATCAACGTGAAAGGAAGTAACTTTAAAAGAACTGTTGATAAGACGTTAACGTTTAAAGTCTTTAAACAAAACCACGATACTGTTAGTCGCATTCAAGCTAATACTTACGACAAGAAATTTCGTCGCTACCATCTTTTTTACAATCTCTGAATCCATCACAACGAAGTAATATCGATATACATGAGCCATCGTGGCATCTAAAGTGACCACTGTCCTTACACACATGGTGTCCAGCCCACCATATCGCACTCGACACTTACCGTATGAACATAATCCAGGGAAGCAGCGTGCAGAAATGCTACGTTAGTAATCTTGTTTTTTTTTTTAAACGAGGAATTATGAGCGAGCATAGAGACCGAAATAAATGGCATAATAGATATTTGAAACTTTCAGACTCAACGATGACTTATATGTTTCGATAGTTTCTGTAGATTCAGGCGTTGATATTGTCATGCAAATATTTGAAACCGATGAATTCTTTTCTCTGCCATTTATCTTCAATTGCTTTTCTCCTCGTCGTTCTGACTATCATGCTTTATCATGCACTAGCCAATCAAATTACTTGACGTGCTGCTCATAGTCTCTCGTTGGTTGGGTATTAAAGTTTGTACCTAATAAGAACTCTACTTACGGCAATCTAACTCATCAGATCCGTCAGCACAGTGTGGTACTCCGTCGCACTTCTTACGTTCTTCGATGCAGTTACCATCGCTAGTGCAACGGAACTCATCGGGCCGACAATCTGATTGAAAAATAAAAAAATATTATTATCATAGTATTATCTAAAAGTGCTTTAAATTTCATTCTATTAACAGGTCACAATTTACCAATATTGTATAATTTATGATTTCATTGATTTGCATTTACTAGAATTATCTAATGACTAAAGTAAAAACTCACCACAGCCATATTCGTCGTCATGATCTGGGCAATCATAAACGTTGTCGCATCGGCGGCTGGACTCGATACAAGCTCCGCTACGGCAATGGAAGTCGTCGTCGCCACATGTTCCTGTTGACAAAACAAGGTACATATTAATAAACAGAGAATATGAACATGCGTAATAACGCCATCTAGTAACTCGATATGGAACTAACATAAACATGGTTAGGTTTTCGTAGAATCTGTAGATGGCGCCACTAGTTGTTTAATATTGACAATTAACTTTTTAAACTCAAAGTGTTAAACAAAACACCACCAATCATTTCCTACGTGTTTAGTTTTATTAATATTTAATTGCAATGCATCTCTCATCGTTTAATAGTTCTGTAAGACGTAATCAGTCGCTGTAGTACTTTCGTTGACATCGAGTTTCACGCTATTCCACTGCGTTGATCAAACTGTTTAACTTTTAGCAAGTTAAGTCTTCAAGTGATGCAAGACTGCGGTTGCTTATAGATAGACTTTGGTAAGATAAATTGACGTCTCTCTCGTATTTTGAGTATTTGTACAAGGGATTGCTGCTGCTGCATTTAATTTTGTAACTTAGTGAAGCTTTGTACTGTTTTATAGTAAAAGAATTCAGTAGGTCGTATTTTTTAATGTTGTATTTATTTCAGTTGTTATCTTATGACATTGGCATGGTATTGGAACACTAAATATTTAAATATATTTTCATTATGAACATTTGCGTTCGCTGTTAACTATTCGCACAATATATTTTGACTGCAAGAAGTTGGAGAACAGTAGTCAATTATATTTAATAACATAGAGGTAAACGGTAAGATCACAAACAAAGCTCATCAAATCAAAGTACACAGCACTTACAACAACGCTCACGTAAACTTGCGTTTAACAAGTGCGCGAACGACACACATCTGGTTAGCATAAATCGACAATAAAAAGAAAAAAGAAGAAACGTAGTCCCGACAAATTTTCTACATCTTTTGTACTATAAACATTGTCAGTAACACCTATACGTATTTAATATTCCGACGTTGTTCGCCGGGGCCTACTACGTGATATACTTAATGCTGCATAAATAGGCAAGTACCCACAGGTATTACCAGTTCAGAGTTTGCGCATACGCTTGTGAAAATCGCGAACTTTCGTGGCTCTTTGGCATTATGTATAGCGACCACGTGGTCGTGTTTAGCAGTCCGAGGATATCCTTTGCAAGATTTTTTTTCTCCCAAGATTGTTGGAGATATTAAGTTTGTTCGCATATTTGAGTCTGTTGTTAACTCATGCTTATGTAGTTGTATGAATTTATACTCAGTTAACTATAGGTGCACTTTAAATGATTGGATGTGTGCTTGTGTCTCAGGGTCCCAGGCGTAAGTAAGAGCTTTGGTCCAAGGTTAAGGGCGTATCGAGAACTAGTATGCAGATTGGTCCTCTCTACTAACTGCTCTAACTGTAAATAACTTTCATATTGATTACCCTTTAGTGTCATCAAAGTAATGGTTTTCATGAAATTACTTTGAACGTCTTGTTACTAAGACAAAGGCTTCAAAAGTAGTGTAAGCTGAGTGGTTATAATGGCCGACCCACGTAATTTTATAGACAAATCAAAACAAAACAAATCATAGTATCCCACTCACTAGACAAGGCTTCTTTACAATAATCGCTTAACATTTGCAATAGTGACGTCAGAAGCCTGCAATTTAGGTCGGCCGGGCTGGTCAGGTATGCATTAACATTAATCGAAAGATTTATTTAGCGTTCAAACAGTTTCAATGGCTAATAGTAGAAGCTGGGTCCAACTGGTCTAAGATATTTGAAACTAATTGGACTAGAGTATGTCTTAAAATGAGCAGCTGCTATTTCGTGGATAGCAGCATTCTAGAGGTATATTATTTTTGGAAGCCTTGGATCTTTTTCTAGTTCTGGTCGGGGATCCTAACAAACAAACTCTTATAAGAGAGAGCCATTTGTTCAACAGATATCATTATTCGAATAATGAAGACATTCTAATGTAATGTAATTTGACTTGCTGAAGTTCTTCCTACTCTAACGAATGTAAATTTTGTGCAACAACTTTTTACAAGTGTAGAGATATGTCGATTTATTTCAATAGACTTGCAACCTTATTACTGTTTAGTATAGAGTTGTAAATCTGGTACGATAGCTGCATATCGTCTAAGCATGAACTTATAAAATATAATTAATTGGATGAAGTTTTTTGGTACTATAACAATGGGAAGGTAACAATATATTCAGATCTTGCGATACAATTGCATAAGGAGGAATTAATGGTAATAGCTTTATCTAGCAGCCATCGTTTGGGTGGTGCATATTATGTACTAGGTTGGTGGTAAACTGCAATAGGTTAAGGGAAATAGTGATGTATATATCTTTTTTTTAAGAGGGGGAAAATCATGGAATGCTTTGACTCCTGCACGTTGAGCCGGAGCCCCGGTAACCTTTTACGTTTTCCTCGGTTCCGTATCGGTATCAGCCCTACGGGGCCCATCCGTGGTAGTCTTATGGCTCTTTGGAGTGCGCGCGGCACGCAACATGGTGTACGCTCGGGTCTAGTTCTGGTCAGGCGGCGAGCTACCCGTGCTCGCCGTTTTTGGTAGAAATGTGAAGATTTGTAAGTTAGTGCGTTTTTGTGTCTGTTTGTTACTTAACTATGTAAAACGGCTAAAAGGATCGGGTTGAGATCTTTTTATCCCACGGAAACGCGGACGAAGCCGCGGGTAGAAGCTAGTAAAACATATAGTTACTCAATCATCAAAACTTTAATCATTAAAACTTTGTGTTGTAAATATTAATAACGAACTTATAAACGTAAGTATCTAAAATGGCTTTGATGACACGCTATAAGTGTTAACGGTGATATGACTAAAGCATAGAGTTAAGAATCAAGTAGCTATTCCCAGGCGTTGCGAAGTAAAGGGCTCTTGAATGAAACAGTCTATAAGCCTTGAATATGTAACAGTAATCCAAAGATGATAGAATCTTTATAAATGTTTAATACCAACGTTAAAATAAAAGAAGAACAATAGATAGACACCACGGTGTTTTATATGGGTGACCATATCACATAAACGGGACATTTTTCAAGTAATAAATTACGAACTAAGAAACCAAAGGGTACTAAAAGTACCTAAGTAATAACTTATTCCTGTTATTTAAAAAGAAGAATATAAAAAAGATTACAAAATGAAAATATTTATGCAGCAGATGCAAATGATGTGCATTTGAACTATAAAGAAATAAATAAGAATATATATAAACAAATCAGAAAGCACAAACATCTGAAGGTCATAATCAAAAATAAACATTTGCGATCAACTCCCTTTCAACGAAGCTACACCGCGTACGTGAAAACCTCAAATAAGGTTTTCTCGTCTTTCGCATGATGGTAATAATATTTTATTAAAAGCTTTCTAGCGTAAGGGGCGTACCAACGACAAGTAGACGCATCACTCTGGCGATACGTTAATGTTCCACAATTACTCCAATTTCTATTCTTACTACAGTTTTGGCTTGTCTTTTTAGGATATCTGATATTTTATTTTCATTGTCATATCGACTGCTTGTAGATAATTCTGGACTACAGACAGAGCTTCCTAGGCCAACACCTTATAGCCGCCCCTGATTTTTTTGGTGGCACCTGCCGTCACTCTATCTATCTGCGGGTGTCACGGAGCTCCTCAATAACCTGGCACTCTAGCCACTTGCGTAGGTTACATTAGGAATAATACGCTTCTGTTCACAGGTCTCCTCCACATTTGAAAGTTTTCAATATAATGCAGTTAGAAGACAGGTTTAAAGATCGCTATTTAAATAGTTTAAAAGTAGATAGCAACTGTATCTTCTCTGTCAAATATGTACCTAGTTACTTTGTCTGCTCTTATCATACTGACAGGAGGAGTAGGAACACAGAAAAATGTATACTAATGCCATTAGCATACAGTTTAATTTCTATAAATCAAATTGTCATAATTTGAACTATGAAATTCACTAGAACACATAAAAAAGTGAATTTCGAAGTTGTAAGATAATATATTTATATACCAGTGATATACAGTGAAGGGTAACATCATGATGACGCTGACGTCTGGATTTATAACTACTGTTGTTTGATCTTATTTGTTTGATTTAAACTTGGTCGTTAATCTTTGTTCACTCTATTCTTTGAGTGTAAATATTAAATAGTTTAAAAGTTTCTATTAGGGTTTACATCTGCATACATACACATGAAGCTATGAACAAACCAGTATAAACTGACCGGCGAATGTTCGGAAAGTACATACAAAGTGAGATCATGATAAACTGGTTATGTGCAACTTGATAAGTAGCCGTGTGACATAAAATATCTTGTGACAAACTGTACCGTGAAAAATCTTTCGGCACGCTCTCAAGCGTCTCGGTCCCGTTTTATTTTGTTATTGTGACGTAAACCAAAGGGCTAACCCATTTTGTGTCATTCTCTAGACAGAGCAGATTGCAAAGTCTTTTTTACTTGTAGATTAGTTTTGTGTTATAATTTAATAACATTCTAGTTAGTTGGTAGGTAAAACCTACACAAATATTCTTATAAATGTATGTTTTTTTTAGTTAGCAAGATCTCGACTAAGTAATTCATTTCAGAAAGCCAAATAAAGAAACTTAATTCCTTTACTCTCAACATAAGGCTTACTTGTCACAAAACGAGAACCAAAATAACCAATCACGTTCAACGTGACGCAAGGTATGTTCCTACAATCAAGCGAATGAAGTGATTCCAACTAAATTGTGCCTGCCAGCTTTGTACTCAGGAACAAAGTTTGTTTAGTTCCTTGCTGGGACACCACAAGTGCACACTACAGAACACCGAGCAAGCATAATCAAAATTACATAGACTTGTCTAAAGAAGATATCACTTCTGACTGCATCGAACGTCTCAAAGAGGAAACATTTCGGCTCACATATCGCAAGCTACATTACACAAATAGAGTGCCTAAGATACTAGACTAGACTATTTGTCTAAGTCAATAATGATTAGGAATGGATTCGGGATGCGCCGATTAAGGAGATGGAGGCAAATGTAGTCTTTCGCTTTGACATAATAGAGTAGC